AGTAGTAAAGGTTTACAGGACGGCCATGCTTAAGTAAGTTGTTCTGTGAATTCATGGTTTTCGTTCCCAGACTTCCAGTCAATGTTTAAAATTTGAATCTGCTTAAACTTCTTCTCAACTTAAATAACTTAACGTCTCCTCTGGTGAATGGAACGCGAGTTCCTATCTTAGACCTTTGAAATAACAAAAACAGTGCAAGGGGCTAATGCTCTGCAAATATCTTAATGAAACCCGACAAGTTTGAAGTTAGCTGACTACTATAAAATTACATCATAGTCTAAGTCAAAATCATTTATTTCAATTAGACCAGGAAGGCACTTTTGCACGTCAAAACTAAATATTGAAATATAAATGATTGTCAGTCCTGGTGAAGCTATTTGCTCCTTCCAAAGTGTAGATTCCTATGGAGAAGAACGAGCACGAAACTCCATAAGTTACTTTTTTGCATCTTCTCTAAAAGTAATGTAATTAGAGACTCTGAATTAAGTAATCATGGAAGGTCTAGCATGAAAGGGAAGGTCTAAGCATGCCCATGTCCATGAAGACGCCCGCATGTCCAATGCTAAGATACGGAATTATCCGTAACAAAATTGTTAATGAAATGCAATACAGCCGACCTTTTACTAATTAAATGTTGACACGACACAGTAGACGGTCACGATCACGCCTCGTCAATTAAAATAGCATGCGTTTCACACAATTACTTAGATAAACGTGCGAAGTACGCTAGGCGCTAATTACACATTAATCAAATGCTTCTTTACTACTGACGAGTGTGGATCTTTTCATCCAACAAAACGGTAGATCATTTTTATTATTGTTTTATGAAATTGCAAACTGTCCAGTGCCTGCTTAGACAATTTTGACAATTACATTAATTGAGTCAAAGGTGTATAAAACAGAATACAATAAATGAAGACGATATGTCTTCATAATGAACATTCAGTAGTTCAAATGATCATATTAAAAAATATTTCCTTGTGACGTAAAATTAATAGTAATTATAACAATTGATGAGAGACAGCCACATGGCTTTTTATATTTCTTGACTTCAGCAAACTCTGCCCCCATGTGCAAAGTTTCACACGATTCATTATGAAAGTGAAGTTACAGGAAAATGACAAGAAATCAATAATAGTTTTTGCATACCACGAACCACGAACTAAAGAAGTATGGCTGCTTCGCGAATCGATATAATTGATTGTGCAATGTAAAAAAAGAATCGATTCTTGACCATGAAAGAAAATGTCGAGTCGAGAGCTATTAATGGTAGTCCTAATATCTGCATTCATAGACCCTATACAAATATGGGTCCCTTCGTAACCTGTACTTACTTTAGTAGATAAATTATATCTTCGATTATTTGTACATATAAGATAAGATAGGCCACAGTGCCACAGAAGTTAGAAACGGCGCCTTGATTTAAAGTTTTTAAGAAACCTAGGAAGTGGGAGATCTACTAGTTTTGGAAAGACTTTACGATAATTTATAGTTACCTATCATACACTGATATAGTTACAAATTAGAACTTAAGTTTAGTATATATACTAATGAAGATATCTATATCAATTAATGTTCTAACTAAATAACTATTTCCATCTACAGAGTTCAAAGTTCAGTTTACTCAAATTATGAACAAGTTGTACAATATTAAGTTTTAAAAGAAAGTAAGTAAATCATGAACTCTAAACCTACTATAATATAAAAATTACTCAATTATTTACTATCAATACGTTTAATACATTCATTATCCTTACGATAAAACCAGATAACAGTTTTACAACTGTAATCTTTTAAAATTAACTTAAAGTACTCGTTTCTTGTGATTAGCAGTGTCACCTTTAAGAGGGAATGAAACAGCAATCATTAATTTCATATTCTCGAAACACTGCTTAGGTGCACAAACAAGTATTGTGATGATTCAGGGAATGTTATAATTATGAATTCATACCGTATTGAGTAGGCACACGACACGATACATTTGTTTCTGTTGTGACTTGTGAATGTACCAAAGTACCCTTCTGAGAAGTCGGTCCTTGCTACAACAATATTTACATACCATTCCCATCGTAATATTACTTATCAGTCGGTAGTCGCTGCAGTTATCAGCCTACCTACAATTTGTGCAGGGAGTGGTTTACTCGATGTGTCGAGATAACGGGGCGATAGCTTTAATAGCTATTAGATTTAAATTAGTATTCACCCGGTTACGCTATTAATATGACAGTTTGACGTTCAATAAGAGATTTTATTTGTATTTTTTTTTGTATTATTTTGTTTTTTTTGGTGTTGTGTAGTGAGTTTTAGAGCAAAATGACAGATTCCAAGCCATTGTTGCAGTAAGTTTTAGTTTTTAGTTATCTTTGTTGTGATTAAAGTCGTATTTATTATTAAAACAACGTAGTTTTTTGCGCATCTTATTGAATTTTACCATAAGGTTTTATTTACCAGGTCTTGTATTTACAATTAAGTACTTACTTAAATATATGGAAAACGGCTTTACTTTACAAAATTAATAAATGTATTAATAAAACAATTTAGTGAATAGCTCTCTTTCACGCTAGTTAAAGACGAAACGTGACCAGATTTTCTTTGAGCCAAGATTTCAATGTAGGTAACTACCTACATGAATAACATTATTTGCAAAATTCCATTATATTTATTGTCAATAGGTAATACCTATAAGCAAAAACCTATTATCTATATAACAGAACTATAATTTTACTGACACGTGTCAGTCAGTCATGCAAATATGTGGTTTATTGTTTGTCCCAGAAGTACCACAGTAGCGTCCATCAGAAATTGAAGTTATTTTTTAAGTGTAACATTTTAAAGTTAATTTTCAATGAACGTGTATCACGTTCAGTTGTTTACCCGTTTAACGACCTCGCTTCGTTTGCTTTACAATCCCTGTCTATTAGATAAGTGATGTATTTACACTATAGCGTCTATCTAAATATGAGAACATCTATGCCAGTCAGTCATTATGGTTCGACGCTTGAAATTACGACATGTAGGTACCTAGTCCAAGAATGTGGCATCACCCTTAGCGAGGGCAGATGGAAGAGAAGGTACTCCATATAACTGTAATACTGCCGTTTAAACTAATGTGGTTAGAGCTCATTGCTGATCCCAAATGTAAAATACTAATATTCAGCTGAATCTGGTTGGGGTTCATTGCCAGGTCTTGACCCACTAGGGAAAAATTTAAAAGAAAGAAAAATGGATACGTAGATATCAAAAAAGCCACTTTGTATATTTGTATTAGTTAATTTTTGGGATTGGTTTATTCGGGTTCTTTCTGGGAAATATAAGCCGTGACTATCAATCAAATTGCTTTATTTTCCATCATTTAAAATCGATTGAAAGATAAGACATACCACTTCAGGTAGCATACCTACTCAAATTAGAGAAAAACACGCGACTTCATTATGGGCGTTTTGTTTCTGTAGAGCTATATTGATAACAATTTTTATCTTTTGTTAGGATTAGTACTAGTTACTCGCTGTTACATTTCCGTGAAACTTACTCGGTCATAACAACTCAGAACATGTTTTGCCTAATTTTTAACCTTGGGCATCGTGTTCATAACAACATCGATATTCAACTTCATTAAAAGATTATAGAGATGTCGGAAAATTAATGAAACATGCTTTTCACTAATGGTAGTCTGTCTAATGTAGTTTAAAAGGTAAAGACACAATTTCGGATCCAATAACGAATAAGGTAAAATAAAAGCAGTTTTGTACTTCAGCGTCTTTGACTCTTGTATACATGCAAAAGCTATTGAATAGATTTAACTACCTAATGTTTGGCATTGGCACTCAGCTAGTTTCATGCCTTAGGGTGCAGTTCCATTAAGGCGGAGCGGAGCAGAGCGGAGAAGAGCTGTGCCGCGATTCACCAATCACATGGCTTGAAATCCACATCTCTTCTCCACTCCGCTCTGCTCCGCTCCGCCTCAATGGAACTGCACCCTTAAGCTAGAGGCTCATATTCATGAGCAGCATTCCGCGACGCGCGGCCCGCGATGCAACGACTGTTGAGCTGCTACTCGCACGCATCATGAATATGAGCTTTGTTTCTCGTCAAACAGTTACGTGAGTAAGTCGAAAACATAATAATTAATACCTAAGAAGTGTTACACTCGGCAAAACGGCGTCAGTTAATAACAAACATAACCCATTTCCTTGTGTTTTAAGACTTTAATAGATAGCGAGATAAGATTTGGTGTCCATGTTATTTCTAATGAATATACAAATAATGTTTCTTTGAACGAAAATGTTTATATTGCTACGCGAAGTTCACATAAATTAGGAATCCCGGAGATATAAACTGAAACATAATGTTGTAACAAATAACTATGTAGGTAGTAGTGTTGTTTACAAATCGATAGGTTTATAAACACTATTAGATAAAACAACCAGCCACTTTAAACACTTAAATCTTTTAAGAAAGGTCTAACCCTTTCCCCAAATTGTAGGAACGACCAATTGAACATAGCAAATAGAAGTCGATCTCTCTGGACAAATAAATTGCAATAACGACTCATCTTGTCATTCTTAACTTAAAAGTTCAGCGTTCCACGTCTTCTCATTTCATTACTTCGTGTCTACTGAGGTTAAATTGAACGGACGTCATCAGTGGACTAATTAAAAATCCAAAGTAAAAAATAAATTAACAGTAGCTACTAAATTATTTCACCTCACGATTTGCCGATAGCCACACAAGTACAAAGTAAGAGTTAGTATAAAAATATCTACATGAAGGTGTTCGAATGGTGATAAATTCATATTTTTTCAGTGGCTTATCAAAATCGACGGTAATGTCAGGTATCGAAATATTTTAGGGCAGTCGGGTTTAACGACCCAATTACAATGGAGCTACTTGACCTTGTTCAGGGCAAAAGGAGGGGAATCACGTTCACGTGATTTAGGTAAGGTATATCTACCTTTTCTATAGAAGAGGATGTTTGTCGTCTTCGTAGTGTTGCAACGAGAATGGTTACCATCGGTAAAGTTCAAGATGTTGAAAGGCACGTTGGAATTAATGGCTGTTTCCTTTGTTTTATTATTATTAAAAGGTCTCAAGTCAACTATACAATCGATGTTTTGTCTGGAGAAATGTAAGATAGGATAGAAATGAATGTCAGGCTAATACGGACCTTTTCAGAACTAACAGCAAAATTAAGTATCAGATCTGCCATAATAACCAAAAATAATTTTATTGTTTCTATATATATCGACAACAGTAAAGAATGAGGATGATCTAAGAATAGCGACTGTTACCATTATTAAACAACCAACTAAAAGTAAAACAAAACAAAAGTCACATAATAATCTCAGAGACAATAAAACTAGGTATCTTGTAACAAAAAATCGATAGTTTACATCCGTATTACATAAATATTGAAGGAAACATAAAACATAGTGTTTGTTGCTCATGCGCACCGTGGGAGCGTGCATTGTGTCTCCACATAACATGTGAACAATTCCACACGTGGACACAAATTGTAGCATTTTGCAGACAATAGCGGTTACTAGAGTTATCATAATAATTGAGATATTATTTTTGTTTGTATACCTGCGTATAATTGAAATGTTTTTCTAGCCTGCCTACCCAGAAAGAAATATTGAGATACAGGTGATATTTATAATGTAAATTGACCCTTAGGTCTTTTCTATTGCTTGCTTCATGTCTAAAGGTCGTACCCCTGAAAGGCTTTCATTGCTATCTCTGTTATTTCCCTCCATCTTGTCCTGTTTTCGGCTTTTCTCAGAGCTTTCGTAACAGAGAGTCCAGTATGATTGGAAACTTGTTCACACTATCAGCCACATGGTCTTTTTCCCTCCACCTTATCTGCCTGGCGGTGGGCAATGTAACCGAAATACCCAAGAATTCGCTGAGAACATAAGGTTGAGTCTAGTTTTTATACCGAGCTGTTCAAGGATTGACTTATTTGTTCGTTTGGCAGTCCATGGTATCCGGAGCATTTTTCGCCAACACTGTATTTCGAAAACATCTATCTTTTTGCGATCTAGGACCCTAATAGTCCACGACTCTGCACCGTAGCGGAAGATAAGGATAAGGAAGACCACTGTGCCCACCCCCAACCGAGATGCCTCCCTCCCAATCTTCCAAGGTATTATTATATATTCGCTGTATTTTAAAAAGAATGGAGGATAAGATACAACCCTGTCTAAAAGTAAAACCCTTAAGGCATGCAAAACAGTAAATTGGTTAAAACCCCAGCACAGTACATATTTGGATAGTGTGATCATGATAAGTCCGCCATTCACCTTATTTTGTGAAGAAGAAATAAAATACATAAATAAATAAATAAGTACTAGTTTTTTACGTTTCATTAATGTTTAGCTCCTAATATAGGTTTGTTGGTGTTATTATTTTTAGTCGAAATGGTAATTTCTTGAGTACCTATAAGGTACGAAGAATTCACAAATTAGCATGGAGATGCAGATAGTGTTTCAGACGTGCTCGCGCGATAAGTTAGAGAATCATATTAATTAAACATTTTATTAGTTAGTAGCATTCGAATATAGACGATTTTAGTAGGTAAATATGAGACTGACACATTTTAGTCTCAAAACCAACTACCGAATGTAAGAGTTCCAAGGTTCACCAGAGTACAGCATTAAAAGGCTTTTCGATTGCATAATTCTTAATCATTAAGAACGGAGCGTCTAGTTTTAAAACACTGAAAAACGTGTACAGAGAAAATCAGACCACCTTCGCCACCACTCACTCACATGAACTTTACAAGGTTTCGCGTAATCTCACGATAGTACTATTAAATGTAGATAACAATATATTGTTTATAATGTAATATCACTTGTATTAGCCACGATAACACATGTTTTGCATTCACATACATCGGTTTACATTGAGAATTAATACTAATTATCTAGAGATACTAGAGAGATAGAAGTTATGTGTAATTCGAGGCGGTTTAATGTACTTTGTTTTGAATCGCTGTTACTTTTTGTTAACACTGCTAGTATTAGTAGTATTTTCCTTGAATTTATATTAATATAAGGTCATCAGAACATTTTCAAATTTGATTCAATTATTTAGGTACAATCTACACCGAGGCATTGGTACTGTATCGCAGTCTCGTACCATCAGAATCGGTTCCACACCAGAATTAGTTTAAAATTAGTTAGTTACCGTTTAGTACCATTATAAATATTTTTATGAAATCCTACGAAATCAACAGTTTTCAAATCACTAATACCAAGAAATTAAAAATAAAATGTATTCTAGTCAAAACAGTACAAAAATTAAACAAAACCGCGAGCCATATTTTCCCTCCTATATAATTTCAAACCACAGATAAAACGAAAACTATATTTATCGAAGTACATAAGATATAGTTATCTACCTAAGTAGACATTAGTAGTGAACACCAGTCTATTTGACGATTTGATAGCTATCTGCAATGATAGTAACCGTTGTTATTCAGTGATTGGCTGACTGACTGCACAAATGGGATAATCTGTATGTTTTCCGTCGTCACAGATTCACTATTGTCTGTGTACTGCATGGTTATGGAAATATACTGTTAAGGTCATTGAAGACTCCATGAACTTGACCGTTCTCTTGGATAATGGTCACATTTGTATAACATAGTACATATAACATAGTACATAGTATATAGACGCGTCTTCACTGTCTCAAACCGTCCCGCACAAACAATTATTTACTTTACGATGCTTTAAAACAAATTAACAAAGTCTTTTATATTGCAGAACTAAAGTGGTCAAAACAGTTAAATGGATAAATTTGGAAACGTTAATAATTATGTTCAAATTGTTATTGCAGTCTGACAGCAATGTCCTAACCGGAAAAAAGACGTTTTCATTCGAAATAGTTTTAACAGCACAAAACACACATTATCTAAATTAGGGCAAATAATCATCATTTATTAAGAATTCGGCTGCGATTTAACAGAAATTCTGGTGAGTGAAGTAGGCTAGCTTCGACCTGGTCATCGTATTGCTAATGTACCTCTAATGTTCCTAATACCATATTAACAACAATTTTAAAACCGAAGTGCTATAAGAGTAGTGGCGTCTATACGTAGAATTCATGTAAAAAATCGCAATGTAATGCGAATTTAATTATAAGAGACAATTAGATTGGCGACAAAAACCTAGTATCATTACCAAGAATGCCTTCCAGCCGTGACGAGGAACTGACTTTAATTCGCTTTTCCGTACAGTTGTTCCCGTGTTTTTTAATTTAAACACTCTTCACCTTCACACAAATTGACCTTTGATACTACGTGCAGCATCATAGTTAAATAGCCAATTTAATTCAATTACGTGTTAAGCTTTGATTGTGCTGGATTTGTCACTGTTACATATTTTGTTAGATTATATTATTAACAACTTTTCTTGAACCCATTTTCGACTTAAAATACTGTATGGAAGCGAATTTTTCTTGATGTTTGATTTGTTTCTTTGGAAGCACCATTATAATTTAAAAAATCAGACGATTTTGGAATTTCCTATCTGACTACTCAGAGAAGAGACTTCGGAGTTGTTTACAAACCTTCACCTGTGAAGGTTACCTAACCATAATCACCATGCACTTTAAATCTTGACAAATTACTCATTTTATTCTTCTCTTCCAGATTTCAAAGAGGGCAAAGTATCGTACGGCACAGACAGTCCGGCACGAGGTCGCCGGGTCATATTCTGCGTGCACGGCAACCCTTCCACAGGATGCTGTGCAGTCATAGAAACCAGCGCAGACGGAGACGATGGCGAACAACGTAATGGAAGCATTTCAGAAGTTGAAAGTAAGTAACTACGTAAATATTTAAACTCACACCTTTTGTATAGAAACTACATGGCGCATTATTTTATGCACCTGCTTATTATGTACTTGTACAGTGGTACTCCGTTCCGTACTTTATCTTCTAAGGTGGTCACTACCACCGCTACCGTTACAAATATATTGTTCTCATTTTGATCATTCATATCGAAAGGGTAGTTCCGACATATTTCCGAAAACGAGGACATGTGTATAAACATAATATATCATATATGGCATAAACCAGGAGGATGTTACTGATTATATCCACTTCGCTTAGTCTTGTCGTTCTTTAAAGGTCAAACTCCTCATATCATGTTGCATTGAACATGAACCGAACATCTGGTTAACACTTCTTGGTGGTCTTAACATCAGCTTATTAGTGCCTTATTTATCGATAAGATCCGTAATGACATCCTTTCTTTCTACTTTATTGTGGATACAAGATTTGTTTTATCCTACTTACAAAATGCAAGGAAATGTACCAGTCTCTACTGTCTCTACTATATTTACTGTATCTCCAGCTTAATAGCCATGAAGGTTGCGAATTCAGTTACGGTGACGTCATGTTATTATGACATGGGGTATTTATCTAGTTGTCGCACTGTAGTTACATATAAGGTCGTGGTACTTGAAGCCCATTGTTTTGCTTATCACATGTTTTAACGTTTAGATTAATCCTTTATTATCTTTTATTCAACGTCCTTGATTGAGTGGATGAATTTATTGAATTTTTTGATAACATAGAGTAAACAATTTGGAATCCTCTTTTTAAGCCATTAGCAGTTTAAAAAGATCTAGAAATGACATCTGTCAATGTCGTGATGGCAAGGTTGAACAAGGAATCGATGATATTTTGAAATAAAAGAAAATATTGATTTATTTTATCAGTCGAATTATAGCTCAAGTTACTGTGCTTGTACATACGTACAATGTACATAAACTCGTTGCCTTTTGATGTCGTTGCCTTAAGGGAACATGTGTTTTCGCAAGTGGCAGTTGGGTTACACTTGACTATCAATGTGATTGACCAAAATCTGCATATCTGTTTGATATCCAGACCATTTTTCATTGGAATCGACAACGTCTGAGAATAGGACTCATGTCAATTCGTCTTTCGGTAGATTCAACTAATCAGCCAAGGCCTACGCAACGTAGTTCTGTATCAAATAATGTTGTGTTGGTGCATAAATGTTCTAATCGGATAGCTCGTAAGTTATCGAGTTGTGTTTATCACTATAAGTATCAAGACATTTAAACTTGTTTATTGATTGATAAGACTTTTTAAACTTAGAAATAACTAACTTTTAAAAGTTCTCAATTTGTTTTAACGAAACACCAAACTCAAACTTAACATCTTACCCAGAAGGTCGCATTTCAGTTACCAACTGAATTTGGTCGGCTCTTACGACGCCTGCAGAAGATTAGGGGTAGTGACAATAGGTACTACCGTTTTTTGGTCTAGCAAGAAGTCTTTTTGCCACATCACAGTATCTGTCAAAAATTGAACGTCCAATAGTTGACACTAGCTAATTCCCTATTGGACGAAGAACGAGAGGTTCACACTAATACCATCCAGTGAGCGAAAATACGGCAGCCTCCATTGTATTTGTATTCTCCTCTCCCATCACCACTCAGTATCGCTACCACATCAAGTTGCTCCAAGTAACCCATTTACAAAACGCCCCTGTAGAGTACCTGGCAAAGCAATTGACTTTTGTGTTCTTAAAACTTCAATAAACTTTGATTCATGTTTATTATTTTGTTGTTTCAGGGCATTGTCACAGATCGAGGAATGAAGAAATAGACAAAAGGGCAAGAAGAAAGTTGATAATAGCCAGCATATTATGTGTTATATTTATGATAGGTGAAATTGTAGGTGAGTAACATTAACTATATTACTAGTAGGTATGTAACAAAAAATGGGCATTTTCAATACCTTTATAAAATAGAAGTAAGAGAAGGCTAGAGTACACTAAACGCCAGTGGTGACATCTGATGTCTGCTAAAATGAAAGTCTACAGAACAAATATACAACCCGACTCACATTCATACATTATTTCCTCAACATATTACATAGGCCGGACCGAATCGCAAATAATAAATACTATATTCGAAAACAATGGCTTCGATAGTTACGTTCAAGGAATTTCAAATTACAATATAATCTTAATGTAGGTTATCAATATGGCACGTGGCCAATTTTCATATTGTTTTCATGAAACATGACTACCATATTGAAGAGGTCTTATGTAATAGTTTTGTTTTACACATACTTCTGGAACACGGCTCTACGAAGAAATCAACCATACTGCCTTAATAAGTCACACAAACACACACACACACACACACACACACACACACACACACACACACACACACACACACACACACACACTCAAATCAAATCAATTTATTTGCCAAAGTCTTGGTAGAATTTATGTGTTAAACTTGTAATAGTAAGTTTACATTTGCAATTCATGCAAACGTTTTTCTTTATTTAATTTATAAGTATTGAAAACCACTACAATCTGATAATGGTCTGGAGTCGATCTGATGATGAAGCCCCGAGAGCCAGTCAAGGGAACTCCTCAACGGTTAACACTTAACAGTAGCTACCTAATGTTTAGGTTTGAAAAAATCGATTTTAGAAACACACTTGAATTCTTGTTACTATTTGGACGTACAGATACTCTCAAGCCATGCACTCTAATAGCTATAGTTGCTAATTTTCTTTTTCAATGTTTTCAGGTGGTTACTTATCAAACAGTTTAGCGATAGCCACAGACGCTGCCCACCTTCTAACAGACTTTGCTAGCTTTATGATATCGCTGTTCTCGCTATGGGTGTCCAGCAGACCAGCTACAAGACGGTAAATGACTTATAAAACACAATCAGTTGAAAGATATTTAAAGTAGAATTTTTGTATTAGTCTGCCAGAGAACGAGCTTAAACTGTCAAACACCAAGCGGTCACCAGTGACCGCAACCTATTGTTCTTTAATTGTGTCTATAATGACGGTACTCAACGAGTTAAATGACTTATGACACTGTTAGTTAAATGACGAACCAATAGTAACGACGAATTTATCTTAATTCCCATAGAGATATTGGGTTTTGATCTCAAAAATTCTTTATTGTGCATATTTTTGACGCATCAAATTAATCATGTTAAAATTATTTAATTTGATCATGTTAAGTACATATTTCAGGATTTTTGGTACATATTTCAGCCTTTTACGTACATGTTTTGGAAATTTGGCATATATCATATTATACCCTTCTCCGTGTGAGAAGAGACCTTTTCTCAGCAGTAGGACCATCGAATAAAATTTCTCTTAGTGATGCTTGAGTGCCGTCGTTATAGACACAATAAAAGACCAATAGGTTGCGGTCACCGGTGTCCTCGCGGTGTTTGACAGTAAAATGTATTATTTCCCAGAATGCCGTTCGGCTGGTACCGTGCGGAAGTAATAGGTGCATTAACATCGGTGCTCCTGATCTGGGTGGTGACGGGAGTGTTGGTGTACATGGCGGTGCAGCGCGTCATATACAAAGAGTTCGAGATCAACGCCACTGTCATGCTCATCACCTCCGCTGTTGGAGTCGCCGTCAACCTAATGTGAGTTACCTTAAAGTAAAACTGCAAACGTCAAGAAATGACTCCACAGTTGGTGCGGTGGCTGGGCAACCGGCTGTCGCGCAACGTGTCGCGGATTTGTTTCCCGCACGGAACAACTCTGATCCACAAATTGTTGGTCCGGGTCTGGGTGTCATGTCTATGTGAAATAGTTTATTTGTAAACGCACTGTGTGATGGACACAGGAGAAAGTGCTAAAGTGGGGCCAAAAATGAAGATGGAGTCGAAGTGGATTACAACTGTAAAAAGGCTACAAAATAGGTCGATTACGACGTTATGATTTGAGCTAGTGTTTCCTAACTGCTGGTTTTTGTCAGACAGGCTTAGTTGGTCTGAATAGCGGAAATACTAACAGTCCAAAATTGCTATCTACTAAATTTTGACCCATGGGCCTAGTGTGATGCTGCCACTTTCTTCATCGCCATAATTTACCCAGTCTAAAAGCTTGGAGCGTCGTAAGTGGTGGTAGTTCATTCATAGGCCTAATTATGTAGTACTTCTATAAGTGCCTCGTTAGCCGAGTGGTCGCAAGTGCGACTGCCGGGCAAGAGGTCTCGGGTTCGATTCCCGGGTCGGGCAAAGTATTACTGGGTTTTTAAAAATCTCAGTATTAGCACGTAGTCTGGAATTGTGCCCGGTATATGGCAATAGGCCCTATTACATGGGACTCATAACATAAATAGTGAAAAGTGAGTGTTACATTGTACAGTGGCATTAAGTGCCTTAATGTGCACCTCTGTCTACCCCTTCGGGGATAGAAAGGCGTGATGTTATTGTATAAGTGGTGGTTGTATGTCCCAGTATGGGCCTGACGCTGCACCAGCACGGCCACAGCCACGGCGGGGGCGGACACGGACACTCGCACGGAGGGAACAACCCCGTACTTAATAATAAGGTATTTAATGTCTTTCAATTGTTGTCAGTTTTCTTATAAACTTTGTGCAAATGTTCTAAATGTTTTTATGGCTTGAAGTTCAGCATCGAGCTCAAACACTTTCAATTACAATTAACAATTAAAATCGAATACTTTTAGTATTAATACTTAACCTTCATGAGTGCTTAACAACAAAGTCATGTAAACGCACCCACGACACAGGAGAAAATCCTAGTGTGGGGCAACGTTTTTTAAAACAAACACAAAAAAACATGAATGTAAAATTGTATAGCATAATCGAATGTTATACAGTTTTGAGTTTTGGGCGAATTGTACCCAGGGCAAGAGTATAATATTTGGTTGTGTCCCCGGTCCAGGAGCGCGCGGACTCTGACGCGGAGAGCGCGGCGTCAGCGCACGCGCACGCGCAGGAGAACATCAACGTGCGCGCCGCCTTCATACACGTGCTCGGGGACTTCCTGCAGAGCTTCGGAGTACTCATCGCCGCCATCGTCATATACTTCCAGGTCCGTGCACATCGCTGTACTTGACAACTTAATAATACCACGCCGAGTTGTTACTTAAAATGTGACTAATTTATTGAATTTCCAACCCGATTGTCTTAGAAATAAAGTTCAAAATATATTTATTAGCTTTTCAAACAGCCAATTATGGATTTTAAAAGTTGTTTGTTTCGGCCTAAATATCGACTAAAAATAATTATGCTTAAAAGACATTAAGTTTTATTTTCTAATACCTATAACCCTCAAAGAAACAGTTTTCACCTCAATACTTGTTCTCGTTTCACAGCCGAGCTGGAGTCTAGTGGATCCAATCTGCACGTTCCTGTTCTCCGTGCTGGTACTCATCACCACCTTCAACATCATCAAGGACGCACTCCTCGTACTCATGGAGGGATCACCTAGAGGCGTGGACTTCCAGGTAACGACATCTAGCATCTATTTATAGCGAACTATAAGTTTACTACCACGTCTACTTTCTTGCTGGTGTCGTATGGTTCGGCTAACAGAAACTCCATACAACTAATGTAGGTTTTTTATGGAAAAGCCCCCTACAACCTCCCTGAGCCTCTGCAACTCCCGTAAGCCAGGATCTACAGTAGACACAACCATGAAAACACCGGAACATTGAAGTCTCGCACCTGCGCGTCCCAGGGACATGAATAACTTGTCTTGGATCTCGCAACGAAATAAATCATAAGATATTAATAGAGGAAAAGCTTAAAACCGATAGTTTTGACTTCCCTCGGTGAATTGATGCAGGAGACAGAATGACTTAAGCCTAAAGGCACATAAGAGACTGAACCAGTTTCTCGGACTGAACGTAGTTACTGGGAGAAGCCCAGTCGCCAAGCACCACGGAAAATTTGACTGAAAACTGAATGGGGTGCTATGTATGTGTGAGCTTCAGATCGCTTAAAATTGGGAGTAAGGGATTACACATTTGATAAAAGTCTGTGCAGTGGTGTTATCTGATAAACCCTGAACAGAATCGTGTAACGTACTTGTCTAGTGTTGAAGTTTTAGCAACTCCCTATTAATTGAGGAGGCTTGGTTCAGCAATGAACTATCACAGGCTTTTTTTTTTTTTTTTTTTTCTATCGCGATGGAAATCCTCATGGACTTCCCGCGTCGTGGGGACGACGAGGGGGCGTGCCGGACTCTTACCGGCTAAAACCACCGCGGTGTTCCTTCACTGTCTGTGACCGTGACCCGGGTTGCCCTTACGGAATCACCACATCCGGCATGCTTCAATCTACCGCTATGTTTGCGGCAGGTCCCGCCACTTTAGCGGCCCTAGGAGGCTGCTTCCCTTCTTCGAGAACTATCACAGGCTGTTATTAAATATTAATACTCTAAGTAGTCTTGATCCGTGCCCTTGCCATATATTTTTTTTTTACAAGAAGTCTTCAATATTTATTAATTATTACCTACATATATTACACGACACTGTCTGATGATCATGATGATAAAATAATTTACAGCTTACGGTAACTTGGACGTTTTGTTAGTGTGCTAATAATGTTTTAAAGTAGTGTAATAATTCTTGTTCCCCCTCTTCGCGTTCCAGGAGGTAGCCAATACGTTCCTGTCGCTGCCCGGCGTGGTCCGCGTCCACAACCTGCGCATGTGGGCACTCTCACTCGACAAGACTGCACTCTCCGCGCATCTAGCCATACGTATGTATCTACTACATACACTCGGACAAAACTACACTCGTGCAATAAAACACATAATATAAGTACAATCATGTCCACACACCAATAACACATCAAAACTCATACAAACAAACTAATTACTCGTATCCACAAACGTCAAAACACACGCTCAAAAATACACCTGCAGTCCAAGTAAGCATATGAATGAACTAACAGTTACATTCCAGTAAATCTTTTATCACACGTTGACCTTGACCTTTTTCATAAGCTGTTACTAATGTTCCGATAAAATTGGTTCTATTATTTACCCAATAACTGCTGTCCCAACTTCTTCCTCAAATTATAGACAAAACTCCTATATTGGGCGAGTGAGCAGAGATTTTAATAGATTGTGTAAGGATTTAGGACTCGATCCATTCATCACAAGCAGTTTCAGGTTGCGTAGGCGACTAAACCTACATGAATGAATATCCTTGTTTTCTACGTGCATTGCATTCGCAAAACCTCTGTAAAGATGTATTGTAGCTAGCCGTGGTTACCTATAATTGGCTTTGTATTAGCATATCCTGAATTTTTATTATTCGAAATATAGATGTTGGTTACCCAAATTAAAATAAATAAATAATTTACACAAAACTTTACTCTCCTAATATACTCTTTCAGGTACCGGAGTGAGTCCACAGAAGGTATTAGAAGAAGCGACCAGGTTGGTACACGACAAGTATAACTTCTTCGAGATGACGCTGCAGATAGAGGAGTTCAACGACGGCATGGAGGACTGCAGCCAGTGCAAGATGCCACAGACTTAAGACATATTACTTCTATGTACAGACTCACATCAAAATACCACAAACTATCACTTTATCACATAGTTTGAAAAGTAAATCTGTCATGTTTTAAATGGTCAATTAATTTTGGTTCTTGCAGCGAAGAAATGTGTTAGAGACTTTGAGATATGACAGTTTGAGATATATTGATGTGCTGTCTAAACGTATTTTGAGATACATCACGTGGTTTGGTTTACTACCAAAGACATTTCGGACCAGCTTCATAAGATTTAACGGCCTTGAATGCCTTCTATAAATATTTGTTGTATGAATTTAAGGTGCCTTATCGATTATTTTAAACTAATATCCTAATAATTAAAAAGTGAGCCAAACCACGCATGGGCCTTCAGCAAGGTTCAAGGAAATGCAATTACACTGCTGCCGCGTAAGGATAAAATCAACAAAATGTATTTGAGAATTACGAACCTCCCTAAGAGTACACCCCTTGAAATGATATTTTTATTGAGCGATAGATAAGGTGGGAATTATCTTGGGCTAGATGGCCATTTTGGTGACTTTGTCCGGATTAACATGCCCAAATTTAAATGTTTCATAGCTAATTGCAGTTGCACTATCCTTGAAATTATTATTTTACTTTTACTTAATTATATTCTGACAGTATGAGTATTTGTGCGACCTACTCAAATGTTCTTTTGTTTGGTATTGTTCGTCGGGTCATTCAGCAACATTTGTTACTTGAGCTGATTGGAAACGGACACATGCGTGCTGCCACCAGAACAGTTCCGCTCAAACCGTTGTGCGCAGTCGGCGCAGATCGCGCAACAGTATTTGTTACATTTAAAAAACACCAAAACATTATATTGGGTAATGTATCAGAAAGTTCATAATTTATTGGCAGAGGACTATTTTCAACAAGCTCCTGTCATATATAAATAATGTCTTATATTATGTAAAATAAAATAAGACCTTGATACATAATTTATTATAGACATACATACAGTACAATTTAATATTCTACTCAAAAAAGATTTTAATCTATTGCCATTTTTACCACTCAGTTGATAAACTGCTAAAATAAATTGCTATAATACCTAATAATTAAACTTGACAGGGACTTTAATCGATAGTGGCTCCCTCTAGACGTCAAGTATGAAACGTCTGGAACGTAAATATAAATTTTTGAAATGTTGAAATTAGCATATTTGCTATACTAATAATTAATTTTACTGTAAAAAGGTTAATTCAGCCTTGTAAAGTGCCTTTGGTTTTAGTAAATTTCGTCATTTTTATGACCGAAATAACTATTTAACTATAGTTCGGCCATTACAAACGTGCGAATTGTCTTATGTCATGTTTATCAGTATCGCGCTCATGCATGCGAGTTGCGCGACACTGTCACATTCCTGTGACGTGTCGGTTCGCATTATAAAGACCAACGACATATTGTCGCTCAAAATGGCTGATTTTCTTCAACAAAGTGTTAATGTAAATGTAGTATGATATTAGTAAAACATTGATATTCCTAAGACTTCAGCCAAAAATGTTTAAAATAAGATGCTATGTCTATATTTTAGCGGTAAATTAATTATGTCGGATTAGAAAATACACGTTTTCAAAGACAATAAGATTAAGTTACAAAATATTTTTCAAATGCATTTTAACAATGTAAATATTTTTCTACATAAAAATAATTTTTCAAAGCAATCTACTAGAGTCTATATTTTTGTTTAAAATTACAAGATACAAGTTTGCAGCTAGATATGTTAATTACAATCCGAATTTATAACTAGAACTGTACCTATTTATAAATAATTAAAAGTTTAAATTTTAATTATTTACAATAATACAATGTTATTTGTATATAGCGTAATATTTATTAGAAAGTAGTTTATGTTAATTATCGTGGTTAAATCATGTAAACAGTTAAATAATTTTAAGTTATTCTAGTATGAATAAAGAGAAATCAATAAATGAACACATTTTTGAGAGCAATTTATTATTTTTATAAATCTACCCATGCCCCATTTAAACCAGTCGAATGATCTGTCGTCGGCGGTATTTACGAACCGATACGACTTCAAACCTTCAAGAAAAGAACGGAATCCTTTTTAAAAAAGTTGGCAAGCAGCTGTGACTTCATGCTCATGTCCATGGGCGGCGCTGATCGCTTACCATCGGGGTTTTCTCATTTGCCTCCTATTCCATTAAAAAAACGCTTGTCTGAACTATTTGATCCTAATACTTAGGTATACTTAGGTTAAAATTTTATGGAAGATCGGTGTCGATCAAGCATAATCATTATTGATTGAATACTAACAACGGCAAAGTCATTTTTAGGTGCATTATTTACTTACTTAATAAGAGTATTTGTGCAATTATAAATATCAATGTTATAATTAATACTTTTAATACGTCAGTTATTGAGATTACACATTATATTATAGCTAATACGGATCATTATTATATTTTTTCTTTAATATGACAATATTTATTTATAACAATATGATCTATCGAAGACCAATGTACGCTTATCGGAATAATGAAATACAACAGGAATGTGTGTTTAAAATCACTTCAAGTTTATCTATTTACTGCAAAGCAATATAATAACAACACGACGAATTCGACTGGAAAAATATTAAGTATCATCGTCTGGATAGTTAACAAAACAAATGTAATGACAGCACAATTTAATATCACAATATACAGTTTTTGAAATTTGGACAAGACAATTGTTTATTTTTTTTCTTTTGTTTTGAGTAAAGACAATGTAGGTATACGTATTTAATCTGTGTTATAAGTATAATCAGCAAAGTTGTTAGGTAGACAACCAGTCTTTGCCACATTGGTGAAATATTTCGCTGAGAGTCGAGGTGTCCTAGTCAGGTTGGGAGAATGGTAATCCACTTCAAACAGGCCAAAACGTTCCCTGAAATTAATAAAAATAAAACATTGAAATGTGTACTCTCGGGCGATGAGTGTAGGTTGAGAATAAGTTATTATCAAGAACTTGCATGTAAAGATTGTTACGATTATACTTAAGTACATTAACATATGTCTCAAAAGACTAGGTTCCGAACCTCTTTCAAAAAACTAATCAGAATATAATATCAGCTATTCTGTAATTGGATAGTTTCCTTAATCAAAATTAAATTATTTCGACTGTTCAATACCTACAATGAAATATTAAAAAATAATGACACTTTCATTAATTTAATTTGTGACTAACTTAATTTTAGTATTTCTCCAGCATTTTTTTTTTTAAATAAGTATACTGTTTGACACTAAAAAATGTGACGTCATAATACACAATCTCATATAAAATTGATAGAAAACTGTCATTTTGGACAGTTCGAATAAAGTATTGAATTTGACTAATTGGCAAGTACCCGATTGTTAATTTAAACTTTTTAAATGAGCTCGATGAGTGCGAATATTCTTACCCGTCATTGGTCGAGATTATATTCACAACCAATGACATGGCGAACAGTAATCGATTCACTTCGAGCTGACGAATTGAAAGTTACAGAATAGCTTAGACGATATTTCAAGTCGGCAAAGCAATCATAGGTACAATACAAAGTAAATACTTAATACTTACGAAAATCCTCTAGTCCACTCGAAATTATCCAGGAAACTCCAGTAAGCATAACCAATAACTAAACATCCATCTTGATATATGGCAGTATGCAAGGCACGGAGATAACTATCGATATAGTTAACTCGCTTTGTATCACGAAGGCCTCGCTCGAACGCCACACCATTCTCAGTTATTAAAGTCTTTGGGTTTCTATATTTAGTCGCACCCAGTTCAAAGCTTTCCTGAAGCCCCATGGTACAACCTGCGAAAAGAAAATATAGCTTCATATTGTTATGTAAGAAGTATGATTTTAATGCAATTGTGAAGAATTACAGACAATTTTACCATAATAAAAGGGGAAGAGATAATTGTTGTCAAATTGGGTAGAATCTCAGATTCCGTGATATTAAAATGACTGGAATTCGGATTAGAGATACTTCTGCACCGCAGTCGCACAAGATTGCCCTCTTACACAATGAAGTGAAACTAATTTAAACCGACTCACCTTCAACCACGAGGAATTGGTTTTAGGCCATTCATCTTTCTGGTATTTAATTACGTTCATATCGTCTACGAATGAGGTTTGTACACCAAGCCTCGAGAGCCATGTTTTATCAAATACGTGGTGTAGTGGTTCAAGCCCAAGAAGTCGTAAGCCCCTCGTATCATCTTCACCTCTTCAGGAGTAAAATAAGGCAGTCTTGAGTGATAGAACCCTTGCCGCTTGGAATTCGCGTCAATCATGCTTCTCATTATAGGCGGATAGTCTCCAGATTTTGAGAATATTGGGTGCGCGAACCAACCAAACTGGAAGAAGTGATTATGTTATTATAGTACCAAGTAAATATGCTAATACATCAAGGTCAAGGTATTCCACAACAGATACTCACGTAAAATTGTCTGGCAGTTTCTGCAGCTTGCTGGTCTTCTTCAGATGTCGTAGCTGGCTCCAACCACGAGAAATCCAATGTTATACCCATATGACCTGAAAGAAATTATTTCGTTGTAAGAATCCTAATAGTAGTTAGGCATTCTCACGAAGTTGACCTTCTTGATTTTACAGTCAGGTAATCAATATTTGTTTAGGGTGTTTTTAATACACTGTGTTTGCTTTAATGTTTTGGGTTTCTGACTTGTCGTATCGAAAACAATAGGAACCAACATTGTTCTTACTGAACATACCTCCATTTTCTTCCGATATTCCTTGTCAAACATGCGGTACACCATGCCATGAGCTCGGAGTACATTATGGCCACACATGTAGTCTTCGAAGCCACTGGAATTCGCTCCCGGAGCTTCTATACCACCGTATCCATCTTCACAGAAGGTGTATGGCTCGTTGAATGTCAACCAGATTCTTACTTCATCGCCAAAAATGTCTAGAAGCACCTGTGATGGAGCAAGTTTATAAAAGTTAGCTACTATAGAACAGGGTGAATAGAATTCAAATGGTGAATAGATATGTCTGAGTAAATCTCATGTAGTGTTCGCCAAGTGTATGTGGAATATCGTCGCTAATTGAGGTTAATGCAAAACCGGGAAATTTTCGATGGTGCAAGCAGTAGACAGCTAAAATAGTATAAACTGATGATCTTCAGTCCTAAAGTCTTTGTTAGGTTTTTGCACCGTAACCAGTGAAGTTTATTATTTATCTACTTAGCCCAAAATAAGAAACCAACTTACTCTAGCATAATCGACGAAGTACTCAGCCATAATAGGATTTGTCCACCCGCCGAGTTCCTGTAGATTTTGTGGCAGATCAAAGTGATACATGGTGACTACAGGAGTAATATGGTTACGACGGAGTTCAGCGAGTAACTCCTTGTAGTATCTGATGCCATCCTCGTTCACGTAACTGTTGTACAATAGTAAAATATAAAGTATAAATATTTTTTATGTAAAAATATCGCAAATAAAAACACGGCCCTTCATGCCATGTTACAACCTCTACTAGTAAATAGAAGGCCTTACTAATCAACACGCTTGTCAGTTAGATTACCAACAAAATTTACACAAAATGCTGAAGCTTTTATCTCGATGGTTGTTATCATTATCCAGACTTAGGGCTCGTGCACAAAACTGCGATGCGCCGTCGCATCGCAAAACTATGCGAGCTCCCTCTACGCATCGCAAGAACTTGCGAATTGATTCGCAAGAACTTCTTTGCTTCTTTTTCCTGTATCTCCAAAGTAATAACAGAAGTGCACACTTCTTTTTACGATCCATGTCACGACCTAGTTTTCAATCTTATTACTATTATATAAAGCGAAACTTTGTTTTTTTGTTTGTTTGTTTGAACGCGCTAATCTCCGTAACTACAAGTCTGATTTGAATAATTATTTTTGTGTTGGATAGCGCATTCGTCGAGGATGGCTATAGGCTATAAATCATCACGACCAATAGTTGCTGAGCAGAGCGTGTGAAACCGCGCGAAGTAGCTAGTTTAAAATACGTTTAGTACGGTTTGCAGTCGTCGAGGGAATGGTCACTTTGGGTAACGCCATGTTGCACGAAATCGCATCGCAGCAATTCGCATCGTAATTTTCTGCGTTGCAAATTCGCATCGCGTCGCATCGTTCTAGTACCTACTCGTACAAATATCATCAGTTACTAACTTGCTCAACCCATTGGGTAAAATCCGTGACCAGGCAATTGAGAACCGGTAGAAGCTGACCCCCAACTCCACCAATAACGCGACATCTTTCTTCACCTTGTAGTAGGAACCATCAGCCACGTCACCGTTCGAGCGGTCGATAACAATTTCTGGGTGTGCATGGGTATATCTATCCCATATACCCTCGCCTTTACCTGCAACATTCACTGTAAGTTAGAGAGTTGAAGGATCATTTTTGCTAAGCAAGTGCCTAGTTAAATACAACATAGGAGTACACAGGAAGTTGAAACAATAAGTCTTATTTATTTATTGTCACATAATAGTCTACAATATTATTATTTTATCATCGGACAGTTACCGGTTTGCTCTGGTTTCCGTCTCACTTCGCACATAGGCAAGGCAATGGGAACTAGCAATTTCGAAGCCTCGCACTTGACGTATTCACTTACCACTACGTAGCTCTGATTTTATTATATCAACGATGTGTCTCAATGGTATTATTAAAAAAAATCTAAAACGTATTTTTATAAGCATACAAACTATATCGGTTGACCCCAAAAGATTCACTGATGCAATCATGACATTATAACGATGAAAACACGAAAACGCTGAATCTGTATAGGTAAATCGCTAAATACCCTTACCTGACACATTCCAGGCGCCTTCAATCTGGTATGATGCGGTAGCGACGCCGAAACTGAAGCCATCGGCAAAACATACTCGCGAATCTAGTACATTGCGGCGATTCGATATTACACTGCAAAAAAAATTTATTGTTACTCACCACTTATAAGTTCCTTTTTACTTTGATAATAATAAAATATAATAAAGTTGACGTCGAGTCAATGTGATAGTACCTAAAGTTATTTCTTTTAAAACCCCCTATCATCCCTCTGCCTTGGGAGTGGCAAGAGAGTGCCAGCCTTTTACTGGCTAAAATCCACCCCGTTTCAACCCCTATTACAACCGGAGCGGTGGTAACCCATGCAGTTGTTCGCACCCCCGGTTGGGAAATTACTTATATTAGAGGTACACACATTATTTGGCCACATCATTACCACCAGGCGAGATGGTGGCCAAACGTCAATCTTTCAATTATAAAAAAACTTAATTTCCAGTGGCGGAGCTTTGGCTTTTCCCCGTATAAAAAATATATAGGGACCCAATTTTTTTTTTAATTTGGGGACCGTTTAAAATATAGTTTAATTTATAGTAAACGTGTTCCTCATAAGGTACTAAGGTCAGAAACCACATAAAGTACTTAACTTGTGAAGTAGATAAGCACATAATGATATACTTCAGAATATACCGTTACTTTCTGACCTTACTTACGTCAAATAAAATGAAAACAAAATGTCTTACCCGTGTAATGAAATAAATAGTATAAAACAGTGGAAATATATAAAGTTCATAATTTCGTTATCACCGTACGCTGACCGGCGGCAACCACTACTATTGTACTGTGCATAGATAGCTTGGCATTGCACTAATAATAAACATCAACTACAGGACGTTCTAAATAACTAAGCGATAGGAGCAATGAATAACAGAGGAATAAACAATATTATAATATTATTCATATTATATATTATAATAGCTTTTTTACCCGCGGCTTCGCTCTCGTCACAAAAGGATAAAAAGTAGCCTATGTGACATATACTAATACACACAGCGTCATCTATACCAATACTTTGGTTTTCCCTCGGGAATATCAAATTTTTCCGAATAAAAAGTACCCTATTATTTAATCCAGACATCTAACTTTACATCTGCAAAAATTCAAAGCAATCGGTTTAGTAGTTACGGCTACTAACTTTCCAATTTATAATATTAGTAAGGATAGTACATATATTCATATTATTATAGTACATGGGTCTAATCAACCACACTGTCATGTATTCAACTAATGAAGTGAGTTGCTGTATAAGTACTTAGCTAGTCTCCAGTTATTTATTACTTATTTATTAGTTTCTCATTTCTGCCCGCGACTTCGTACTCGCAATCCCGTTATCTCCCGTTTTTTTTTTTTTTTAAGGGGGGAAAATCATCGAATGGCTGCTCCCGCCTGGGTGAGGCGGAAGGGAGTGTCAGACTCTTACTGACTAAAAACCACCCCGTTCCTTCTCCATCGGCCCTATTGGGCCCCATCTGTGGTGGTCTGATGGCTCTTTGAGGCGCGCGCGGAACGCGACGCGCCGTACGCTCGGGTCTGTTTCTGGTCGGACGGGGAGCCACCCATGCTCGCCGTCCGCAGGCCCGCGCTTACGGTGGCCGGAGATCGTCCCGCGATCCCCGACGCCCGGTGTGTCCTTCGCGATGGCTGGGTCGCGAGGAGGCAGCGCTTCGTTGCCTCACGCGTCCCGCCTCCTCCTTAGCTAGCATGACTGCTTCGCAGAAGGAGGAGACGGCATCCCAGTCCCCCTCGCTCCGCATCATGGCCTGCACTAGGCCCGGACGCGAGAGGTCGCCATCGCCGATCACTTCCCTGAGGGCACGGCAGTGCTCAGCCCACGCAGGGCATTCTCCCACTGTGTGTTCCACCGTGTCCTCAGGGCGGTCCTCGCAGTGATGACACCCGGGCGTTTCCTCCCGCCCCATCAGACACAGGTACCTCCCGAAACTTCCATGTCCGGTGAGGACCTGCGTCAGGCGGTAGGTGAGGACGCCGTAGCGTCTCTCAAGCCACTCCTCAAAGAGGGGACTTACCGCTGCAATGGCAGCGAGCCCAGTTATCTCCCGTTACCGTAGGATTTTTAGGATTTTTTTCTGTCGTAAGAACCTTATCCTGATAATAACAAACACATTAAAAAAAAAAAAAATCAGCCAAATCGGTCTAGCCGTTCTCAAGTTATGGCGTGACAACGGGAAACGGGTTTCAATTTTTTTTATACATATACCTACATATCTATAATTATGTGCCCCGTGATTTAAGTTTTGCCAAAGAAATGTTAGTTAAATTCCACGTAAATTATATATTTTTATTTGATGTTTGTAGATTGTGGGTGTAGAAGCTTTTCAAATTGATAATTATTTGAACATAACATCATCACGCCTTTTACCCCCGAAGGGGTAGGCAGAGGTGCACATTATACCACTGTTCAATGTAACACCCACTTTTAACTATTTATGTTACGAGTCCCATGTAATAGGGGGTGAGCCTATTGCCATATACCGGGCACAATTCCAGATTCCGTGCTACTGCTGAGATTTTTTAAAACCCAGTAATACTTTGCCCGATCCGGGAATCGAACCTGAGATCTCTTGCCCGGCAGTCGCACTTGCGACCACTCGGCCAACGAGGCAGACAATTATTTGAAATACGTTTAAAATGTTAAATGGATTAGGGGTAGGTATGCTTAACAATATTGGGTAGGTATCTAATACCTTTTGTTTAATGCTTTGAAGGGTAGATGCATCTCTCACCACACGTACTTACTTTTCGCCATTCCAGCATTCCCAGCTAGCCAACCAGTAATCCAATATGATATTGAATTTCGGAGACGAGCCCAATGGCGATATAATTATGTTCATTTTTAATTTAACAGCGAAAAAGGCAATAATTTATTTGCTTAAACATAACACATAATCAACACTAAAGTGTCTACAATTTTACCGATATAGAAATTACAATAACAATTTCAGAATATTTAAACAAACAGGAAATTATAACTACTAAAGTTATTGTAGTAAAAAGTTGTAACGCAATGCAAAATTAATGTAATATTTCTTAATAATTCAATTAAAATTTATCCTTAAACGAGAATGGCAACTACATACACAACGTTTCTAGTTTGATTCCAAGTCGTTTTCTTCTATTTCTCAACTGTCCTTACCACCTTCCGATAATAAGTAACAATACCAATTATGGGCCTTTGGTTTGGCTTAAAACTAATCGACCTACGTCATCCAGCAGTATTACCATAAAATTAACGTAAAATATTAAAATGACGAAGAGCTTTCTTAAAAATAGATTAGGTATAATTAAAGAAAAAAAATACCTATAATTAAAAAAAAACAACCTGTATAGAAGTTATCAACGACCGACAAAGTCATCGACTGTTTAAATCACATTATGCTTAATTAGTAATTTTATTGCATTGCACAATACATGCACAAAATGTAGGTAGCTACTGATGCACTGCACAGCTTCTGTAGTATAGGCAATATTTTAAACTAATTGCAATTTTTGTTACATTGTTTTTTTTGTATCAAGGTACCTATATGAGAATCTGAACTTTGATACTAGGTCAAGTAGAACGTCAGAAAACCAAAATTTATTTATGTAAGTATAAAACTAGGTATACGTGTCAGGTGGTAATGATAGTTTGATAAATTAATTGTAAAATCGCTGCAATTCCTGTAAGCCAGGATCTATACAGTACTCGTAGTTACAACAATGAAAACATATTTAGAGTTCGGCGAGTTCGGCGCGTCCCAGGGACATGAATAAGTCTTGTTTCCCGCAACGAAATAAACCAGAAGATATTATTAAAGGAGAATTAAAAACCCCAATGTGTGTACATGTTTTTTTTAAGGGGGGAGAAATCATCGAATCACGTCTCCCGCCTGGGTGAGGCGGGAGGGAGTGTCAGACTCTTACTGACTAAAAATCACTCCGTTCCTACTCCTGCACTTCGAGCTGGAGCCCCGGTATCCTTTTACGTTTTCCGCGGCTCCGTATTGCCATCAGCCCTACTGGGTCCCATCCGTAGTGGTCTGAATAGTGTAAGGTGCGTGTAGGGTAATGACGGCAGTAGATCATTCACATTTTAACTCCAACCCACGACCGGTGTCGTGACTGGTGAATGATGGCACACTGCTGCTGGTGTCAGAAGAGCCAACTAAGGGACTGAACATTCAACCTAGAAGCAGATCTCCTTTTTTTAAGGGGGGAAAATCATCGAATGACTGCTCCCGCCTGGGTGAGGCGGGAGGGAGTGTCAGACTCTTACTGACTAAAAACCACCCTGTTCCTTCTCCTGCACGTCGAGCCGGAGCCCCGGTTACCCGTTAGGTTCTCCGCGACAGCAGCAGATCCCTTAGATGAACCTGAACACACCTTTTACTGCAGTCTCCAACCCGCCCTGCCATAGTAACCTCTTATGTAGATGACGTGTGCAGCAGTGGATGTGTTCTGTTGATGGTAAAAGATCGAATAGACGATCGAACTGAATCGTCATTTTTGTCCGCTTTGGACCATATTCGATAGTGTGTATAGCGGTCAGTCGCACATTTTCAATGGATATCATAGGACAGGCCTTCTTTATATGTTCTGCGGGACCGGTAAACCAAATTGACTGTACGGTGACGGTTCGGTGCGATCGTCTATTGGTGCTTTTAGTATGAATTAATAAACTAATTACCTACCTAAGATGAGGTGTCCATTTGGAATTTTTCGAATCGTAGGTGTATCATTTTGATCTACTTAAGTATTCGTTATTAATTATATATAGGTACATAGTTACATACCTACATAACCTCACGACCATCTCCTAGGTAAAAAATACATACCTAAGCACTTACTTTTTTATATTGGCACATGATTGTCACTCCTCACGACTAAGTTTTTTTTTTAATACTTATACTTATACGTACTTATCTAAGCGAGGGTACAGAAGCACAGACAGAAGTGTTACTTACATCACATGGACATGGGCGAACAATATTGCTAAGTAAATTATTATGGTTATTTATTGACCTTCAAAATGATCCAATATTTGAAAACAAGATTTACACAGGCCAGTGTTTAAAAAAATTAAACCTACCTGCGTTAATGAATGCTATCGATATATCGATATTTATCCATGTTTTCATAAACTGTTCGCAGTGTTTAATAAAACAAAGATTGAACAAAAATCTGACAATATGTAGGCATTTACTGTTTGTTTACGTTGAGTTGTATCACTGTTATCATAATTTTATTTACCTACTATAGTTCCACTATTACCTAGTAGATGGCGTAGTTACGTTATGAATAAGTTTTCTACCAACCGCTAGATGGCGTCACAATATAGCAAAGTGGAACATTCTAGAACTATTTGGCCAGTACATTGCCATAGTATAAAGAAAAAGAAGTAGTTCTTTATACTATGACATTGCTAGTGAGTGAGACTTCGAATTCGTACCTCGCGTGTTCTACAGTGTTCGTTCGAGAGTGAGGTGCGAACCGTGTGGTACGTTCTCGAATTAACTCGCATCTATGATAATAGGTGGCGTTGGCGTCTCGGGCATATAAATACGGAGTTGCAGCGGAAAGCCGGTAGTTGTTTACAAAGAAAGTGAACTGTTCAAATCTTATAGAGAATATTCAAGCAAGTACATTAAAAATGTCGATGATTCCCTATTTCTACGACCTCGAAAGACCGTTCCGTATGATGGAGAGGGATTTCTACAGACCCGCGAGTTTCTTCGGCTATTCTCCATTCAACCAGATGATGTCACGGGACTTCTTCGGTCCATCGTTCTTGAAGCCATGGGAAAACATTATCAGGCCCATGGAACAACTCACATCATCAATGAATCAGCTGGCACTGAACGGACCGAGCAAAATAACTTCGGACGACGAGAAATTTCAAGTGAACGTCGACGTCCAACATTTTGCACCGGAGGAAATAAACGTGAAAGTGGTTGATGGCCAAGTTCTGATTGAAGGGAAGCATGAAGAGAAGCAGGATGAACATGGGTTTGTGTCTCGGCAGTTCATAAGGCGTTATGCTCTTCCAAAGGGTTGCTTACCTGACACTGTGGAGTCAAAATTATCGTCTGATGGCGTCTTAACAGTGACTGCACCAAAAGTTCTACCCCTGCCTTCTACTGGTGAGAAGATCGTGCCAATTACCCAAACAGGACCCGTCAAGAAGCAAATAGGATCACCAGATCCCATTAAGGAGGAGTCCTAAACGTGTAAATAGTGTAAATAATAAGTGTTATTATTTTTCATGTAAGACTGATTTGAAATCTGTGCTATATTCGCCTATTTTTAATTGTTTTTATTTGTTAATAAACTTATGATTTATGCCTATTTCACTTTGAGTTGTTTTATTTCAAGGTAACGCCAAAAAGATAACTATAAAATCAATAGAAGGTTCACGAAGTGGTACTGCATTTTTTAACAATTCGTGAAGATAATAAACTAGTAGGTAGGCAACACATACCATTTTATCTTATTCAGATTTTAGAATCCTATGTAGGTAAATTAACATATCACAAGTGTCAAGTCTCAGTCACATCCACTTTTCGTTGCCTATATCATCATAAGTACTTTCTATTTGCTATTGGGTACTTACTGTACTATTTAATTATTAGTAGTCGAGTGGTCGACGGTAAGCCTGCCAGAGGTCTCGGGTTCAATTCACAGGTCAGATTAAGTAGGTATCATAAGGGTTTTTATGATTTTTGTTTTTGACTGTTTTCAATGGACATTTGAAAAATAGATAATAATTTGTTTAAAACAAATTCAATTAAATACACAGGTATGTATACAACTAATGGCATTGTGTTGGATAATCAATAAGACAAGTCGCCTAAAATAATAAACTATAATTTATGTAAAAGATGCTTTTTCTGGAACATTATTTAAAAGGTATTACTGACGTAGACCAGGCATAAATAACTGTAATGAATGAATCACAGGGAATTTAATGTCTATAAGGTTCACGACCAAAACTGTTTTGAGCTTGGCGTGATGCCCACTGCAGCTGCTGCAACTTTATATTTACTCTCTATTTTCTCCGTGAGGCCTTGGAGAAGTTTCTCCATCACCAGTTTCACCTTTGGAACCAAGCTTCTTCACTGGTCCAGTATGAATAATAGGTATGATGCGTTCATTTGAACTTATAGGACGTTCTAAGGGGGCAGTGACAGTTAGAACTCCGTCTGATGATAGACGAGATTCCACAAAGTCAAGGCAGCACCCTTCAGGTAATGGGTATCTTCTTTTAAACTGACGGGACACCCATCCATGTCCGTCTCGCTTCTCTCCATGCTGACCCTCGATGACGACAAACCCATCAGCGGTTTTCACCGAAATCTCTTCAGGAGCAAAGTGTTGCACGTCCAAATTGACTTGGAACTTCGCTCTGTCGGACTTGATCGTTGTTCCGAAGTTCGTCATCAATGATGATAACTCTTTCCAGGGTCTGTAGTAGTCGTTTGCGTACTGCGGAGCAACCATCGTTAATATATCCTCGGGTGTCAGTGCCAACGCAAAATGTTGATCGGTCAGTTGCAAAGGCATTTCTAAAATAAATGGATGCGTTGACATATTTGCAATGTAAAAGAAAATTATTGTGAATTATATTTTATTAAATTTTTGACGGGCGTTTGTGTGAGATTATTGTGCGCAAGAAGTTTTGCGCCGAAAATGTAATTATAATATAATTATATTATGTGGCCAGTACCTATATTAATAGTAAAAACTTTTAATAGTTACCTATTTTGAATAAATAGATTGGTCATGTTCAGTATTCATTTTTTTGTAAATACTACACACGAAATGCAAAGTAAAGTACTAAGGAGCGCAGTGAGCAATAAATACATTACCTATAGACATACACATTATTGTTTTAGGGAATCAGAATAACTTTCGAGCCAAACATTAGGTTGATTTGTGGGTCGGGTATAATATTTTTGGGTTTTTCAAAAACATGTAACAATAGCACCTAGCTTGAAATTATGCCCAGTGTACTTATATCATTCTTATTACATGGGACTCAACTGTTGAAAATTGGATATTGTATTGTAAGAATATGCGAAGCTCGCTTTTGCCTACCCCTCCTGGGTTCATAAATCGTGACGTTATACATGTATGTACGTATCTTTCCTTATAACTGCCTCGTTGGCCGAGTGGTCGCAATCGCAAGTGCGAGTGCCGGGCAAGAAGTCTCGGGTTCGATTCCCAGGTCGGACAAAGTATTACTGGGTTTTTAAAAAAGTTCTCAATTGTAGCACGGAATCTGGAATTGTACCCGATATATGGCAAAAGGCTCACCCTCTATTACATGGGACTCATAACATAGCATAAGTAGTGAAAAGTGGGAGTTAAATTTTACAGTGGCATTAAGTGCCGTAATGTGCACCTCTGCCTACCCCTTAGGGGAAAGTCGTAATGTTGTGTTCTATTTCCTCATTACATTGTTAATTAGTATTACATTAAGCCAGTAAAAGTAAATAAAGCTGTACATATTTAAAAACCACCAAAACAGTCGACATTGTATGATAAAATTGCGTCCTTGAACTGCGAAGTTTCCAAGTTCATTATCAGACATGTTTACATTACCTGTATTGTGACTGTTTTTTCTAGAATCTAGATGTTCTAGATTATACGTATCGATCGATATTCGATAACTGCATTATTGTAATAAATATTAAAATTACAATCATTAAACCTTATCTATGGTATGGTGTGTAGAATCTTCTTTTTATTAGATGAATCATCAATGGTAGGAATTATTTTTTTTTTTAACCGACGAACAACAATTTATAGATGAGTTCTTCAAGACGATGCATATATTTTTTTGATGCAGTCATTACCAAGCATCCTTACTAATATTATAAATCGGAAAGAGAGTTTGTTTGTTTGTTTGTTTGTTCCACTTTCACGCCGTAACTACTAAACCGATTGCTTTGAATTTTTGCAGACGTGAAGTTATAAGTCTGGATTAAATAATAGGGTGCTTTTTATCCCGGAAAAATTAGATATTCTTGAGGGAAAACGAAATTATTGGTATAGATGGCGCTGTGTGTATTAGTATATGTCACATAGGCTACTTTTTATCCTTTTGTGACGCGAGCGAAGCCGCGGGTAAAAGCTAGTAAGACATATTCGTAAAGCGTACAATACCTCTACGCTTTGTCACAGGACTACTACTAGGTCTAAATAAAATAAATTTACATTATAAATATATATTTTTAGATCTTCTAATACATATACAGGAAAATAAGTAGCACCATGGTTGGTAGGTAGGTACATAAAACACAAAATTAAACTATAATTTTAAATCAATCTATGTATTTTTGTCATTAGATTTTCGACTTCACACGTAATATGATAGAGTTGAAAATGTAATAAAGTTTAACACAAAAGAGTACACTGTACAAGAAGTCGGGTAGCGGGTAAGCGAAACTACAACGCTTCACCACTTCTATAGTTCTCATCATATTTATTAACTGATTTCAAAAAAGAGGGAGATGAACTCGATTGTTGAACGTTGTTTATAAAAGAACTATTTGTCACCTCATAATGATCATAGTAATTACTGTACTTTAATACTTACCTAATTACTTCTGTACCTTCTACTTACTTCATCATAATTTATAGAGAATCTATATGTATAACAAAAATGAATCGTTAGTCTCGCTAAACCTAGAAAATGGCTGAACCGATTTGGCTAATTTTGGTCTTGAAGTAAGTTTATGGTTCGTTGAAGTAAAGGGTCAGAAATAATGTTTGAGGCGATACGAAGTTTGCCGGGTCAGTATATGGACCATTTATTTAAAACTAGCTGACCATAAAACTCCATATTATTCCAAACCCCATAATAATAATAAGTCATTTATTTCTGAGTGTATGGATATCTACAAGGTCTTGATTTTAAAATTTTCTTCAAAAGAGGTCTAAATTTTAAAGTTTCACATGTAACTACCGTTGCCGGTGTAGAAATATAAAAAAAAGATAAACAATATTATGGAATTTCAACGTCAGCACTATTTTGTTACATCTTTATAATAATATGAATAGTAATTAAAGTATAGTTATTAGGAGGTAGCGCAGTGTAGGTAACGCATAATGTGATTAGAACATTTTCATAGGTCCACATGAGTTCAGTACGGGTAAAATCTATTAAAAACTACCTACTAAATAAGTAAGGGACCATTATAAAAAGTACCTACATCTAGATATACCTATTATAATTATTTCGAGATAACCTACCTCCGGAATTTTTATTTGATGTGTGGTCTGTTGACAGTAAAATTAAATAAAGTAGGTAGGTTTAAATTAAGAAATCGCTTATTATAAAACAATAACTTATTAGGCAATAAAAAAATTAAGAAATTATTTTTGGCGACGTCTAGCAATAAAATCTTATTCTAATGTTAGCTTGCACATTCACCTTCCTATTTAGTAAGATCCATCATAAACAAATTATAGGGCGTATTTTAGTTTATTAATACTGTATAATAAGCCGCTATACATAAGTAATCGTTACTGGGTGTATCTAGAATGCTCCTTCTCACTTCGAGAACAGTTTGGTTCAATAGCAATATTCTAGATTCTGTAGTGACGCCACTCGACACCAGAGGGCGCTTCGTAATCAGTTGCTTAGAACATTTGGTTATGGTAGTAGCTATTAGAGATGTGCTTAATCTGAAAGTACGGATTTGGTTGATTTTAATATAATAATATCTGTTATTTATCTTATGTCATTTGTCTTATCTTATTAAAATAAAATATTTTTTGTTAGATCCTAATAGTGTAACGTTTTGTGAAAATAATAATGTTAATCTTTCGTTGTCTTAGTTTCCTAGAAATATATTAAAGTAACTAAAGATACAAAATTAATAAATCCTATAAAAATAAATGTTATTATCTTACTCGGATACAAAAATCTAAAAATATAAAGGCTATTGAAAGTGGTGCAAATCGACTCTCGTAAAAAATGTTTATAGCGTCTGACGTAAGTACGTCACACGCCTGCGCGAGCCATCTTGCTCATTCTAGAGGCACATTCGAGAAAATTCCATTACATACTAGATGGCGCTGTCGCGATATAAATGTGAAGCCGGCTTGAATTCGGCATTCATTCAACTGAACGCAACACTGAAGAGAGCGATTAGTGAAATCGTCGGAGATTTCAAAGCGATATTTGAGTGAAAACTCGTTGAATTTCTTGTGTACAAGCGAATTAACAGTATTGTCGAGTAAAAATGTCGATGTACCCATTTTTCTTCGAGTACGAACGACCACGTCACAACCCGCGCCGGTTGCTTGACCAGCATTTCGGCTTGGGATTGACACCGCAAGACCAGTTAACCATCATCGCTGTTCCTCAAGCCAGCCGTGATTACTACAGACCTTGGAGAAACCTTCAAGCGGCAGCTCAGGATGCGGGTTCCACCATCAAAGAAGATAAAGACAAGTTCCAGGTGAATTTGGATGTCCAGCACTTTGCGCCGGAAGAAATCTCAGTAAAGACGGTGGACGGTTACTTAGTGGTCGAAGCTAAGCACGAGGAAAGGCAGGACCAGCATGGATTCATCTCCAGAAGCTTCACCAGGCGGTACGCGTTACCTGAGGGTATTGATGCCGACTCTGTGATGTCAAAATTATCTTCTGACGGTGTTCTCTCTATCACGGCGCCTTTGAAGCCACCTCCGAAGGAATCCACCGAGAGGGTGGTGCCCATAATTCACACTGGACCTGTGAAGAAGCAGGAAAACAAAGAGGAGCAGGGGTAGAACATTCCAGTTGTGTTTAAAGTGGATTATTGTTATCATTCCGTGCTATTCTGATGGTTATGTTGAATCTGTCGAGCTGAGCTTGCTGTGTTGTGGTTATTTGTCTAAACAATACTGATTAAGTGATTATTCTGTTGTAAGTTACAAAATAAATGACGTTCTAGTCATTAATTTTATTTAGTTGTATTATTTACCTCTCATACATAGGTATCTTGGCAATGTTAACTTTTGACTTAAATCGAGTTGATACTGGTACTACCTACCTATTCAGAAAATACGAATTTTAATGTACGGTATACTTACATTTTAACCACAAAATTATTAAAGATTAAATTATTTTTTATTAAATTTAAATTAAAGAAGAAAAAATTAAAGAAGTAGCTTAAATTATTTTTTATTATAGATACGTAAAAATTGTTTACCAAAATTGCTCAATATTTCAAAGTTATTTTAACTATTTCTAACTGCAACGCCATCTTTGAAGTCTTGGTGTAACTACAAACACCATAATATCTAAACTTGATAAGTATACTTATTAGTACTACCAGTTCTCACTAGATGGCATAAAAACTAAATATCATTGTGGTGAACACAACAGCTAGGTACTTTTCTCATTGAGTGCATGGTGTAACTTCTATATTCCGTGGTGTAACTACAAACACCATATCTAAACTTGATAACTATACCTATTAGTACTACCAGTTCTCACTAGATGGCAGAAAAGCTATACATCACTGTCCTGTGGTGAACACAACTGACAGCTAGGTAATTTTCTCATGACTATCGCATAGCGTGTTCGATTCCCAAGGAATAACTGTTTGTATATGAGTGAGGTTATCTGAGACCCAATACTTACACTCTTTCCAATCTTCAAATTTTCAATTTTCAAATCCCTTAACCGTGTTGCGATTGGTCATGGGTGAAGCCGATCGAAGACACACAGATGGGGCCCAATAGGGCCGATGCCGATTTGGAGTCGCGGAGAACCTAACGGGTAACCGGGGCTCCAGCTCGACGTGCAGGAGAAAGAACGGGGTGGTTTTTAGTCAGTAAGAATCTGACACTCCCTCCCGCCTCACCCAGGCGGGAGCAGACTTTCGATGATTTTCCCCCCTTAAAAAAAATGCCATACAAAAAACAATGAATAAATCGAGTGGTAACAGCAATAATTAAGTAAAAATGTACCTCTATAGTATTGTTTATTATTTTTATCGTCAATGCCTACACGGTTTTTCCCCTGGAAGATTGCTGTTGTGTATGAGCTATCTTTTTACTAATATTATTTAGATAGGTATTATTGCAAAACTAAATTAAATATTATGAGACTATAACAAACTTACTTATAAAATAAATAATGCAATCGAAATTTCGAGAACAATGATTTTTCGCGACTTGGCTTAGAAAAGGGGTTACTACTTCTTCCCCCAAAAAATCTCTTATAGTTGCATTTCTATCTACTACTTATCTAGAAAGAAAGAAAGAAAAATCATTTATTACGCTACAACACACAACAAGATACAGGTACACACAGAAAGCCCATGGCATATACCGTAGCTCTTATTCTATCAGATAGATTTCAAACGAAGATATCATTAGTTGGGTACTTAAAACATGAGATGACGGGGATGACTGATGATTGACTATAGATTAAAACAATTGAAATATTGAACAATATTAAAATGCTTTTATTTCGGTGATGTACCTAATGCAACTGCCTCTGGTATGAAAAAGTTAATAGGATGTGAGGCAAAAAGCTTTGGACAAATTTGTATCACGGCTTGTTAGACCCGGAACCACAAATTGAACCCGTGCCCACTGGCGTTATACTTACTCAGTTACTGCGCTGAGTGCAGTCATTTAACTTGGTCCCAAATCATTTGCTGCAAGTCAAATTTCTGCACATTTACACTGAGTTCGGTCTTTAGAGGTCTGAAAGTCGAAAAAACTTGACTGCTCCAAGTTGACATCAAACAAACTGTAATATTAACGCATTAAATAAAATGTAAAGATTTTTTATAGTTAAAATAATTAGGTAATGAATTATTTATAATTAACTAGCTGACCCAGCAAACTTCGTACCGCCTAAAAAATATTTTTCTCACCTTTTAAACCTTCCCTGGACTTCCACGAACATTTCAAGACCAAAATTAGTCAAATCGGTCTAGCCGTTCTCAAGTTTTAGCGAGACTAACGAACGGCAATTCATTTTTATTTATATAGATTAATCTGGTCAATGGTTTCAGATGCTGGTTATTATCAGATATTCGCATTCATTAGATCTGGACGCACAATAACTGATAGTTCTCTAATAATTTCGTTTATTATGAGCTAAATGCTCTTTTTAAATATGTATTGCATCACAATATAAAACACTTTCTTTTTATTAACCACTTCAAACGAAAATATTACAAACTTTTTGTCTAATACAATAATTACTTACAGTTTTTGATTTGACTGCACGTTAGCCGAGTGGTCGCAAGTGCGACTGCCGGGCAAGGGGTCTTTGATTCGATTTCCGGGTTTTGCAAAGTATTACTGGGTTTAAAAAATCTCAGTAGTAGCAGGGAGTCTGGAAATGTGCCCGGTATATGGCAATAGGCTCACCCCCTACCACATGGGACTCATAACATAAATAGTGAAAAGTGGGTGTTACATTGTACAGTGGCGTTTAGTGCCGTAATGTGCACCTCTGCTTAAACTTTCGGGGATAAAACACCGACTTCAAAAAACCAAAAACTAATAACATATAAAAAGTAAAAAATAAAAAGCAAAAAATAACTGATAAGCTAGAAGTCGGCGCCATACAAACAAAAAAAAAACAATCAGCCGAACATAGTACCTCCTCCTATTTTAAGTCTTTTTTAGAAAAAGGCGTGATGTTATATTATTATGATTCTCCTTTTTTCGTTAATTAAAACAAGGAAAATTCACTTCAAACTGATAATGTTGGGAATTTACGCGACGCAAATAATAATAGTGAACGGGTGGTAAATAATTATGTATATGATAAACATTGAACTTTTTTACAAGCATGTAGGTTATATTATGAATGCCAAAGTATATATTTTTTTGTTATATTATTTATATAATATTATATTATATTTTACAATCTCTTCTTTGTGCCTTTAGGCTTAATTCATTCTGTCTCCTGCAGTAATTCACCGAGGGAACCATCGTTTTTTTCTTCTTCTCTTATAATATCTTCTGATTCATTTCGTTGCGGGATCCAAGACAGTTATTCATGTCCCTGGGATGAACCGGACTTCAGTGTTCCAGTGTTTTCATGGTTGTATCTACTATATATCCTGGCTTACAGAAGTTGCCGCGGTTTTGAGAGGTAGTGCTCATTCATCCACTTGGCTCATTCATCTACTAGTGAAATTCTACAATGTTTTTAAGAAAAACTTGTTGTAGAACTTCTCTTTGGATAGCAAATATGACGATGGTACTTCTATAATAGTGACGCCGTTTATTAATGCAGTCAGCTCCAGAACCTTCCTTAATCTGTTTGTTCAATTGCAATAATAATGATAACGAATACCTGGTAAAATACGTAGTTTTTATTCCATTACCATTAAGTGTGGGAGAGCCATGCTTCGGCACGAATGGGCCGGCTCGACCGGAGTGATACCACGGCCTCACAGAAAACCGAAGTGAAACAACGCTTGCGTTATTTCGTTATTTAATTGGGAATTTGAGGATGTGGATCCTCAATTCCGAAAAGGCCGGTAACGCACTTGTAACGCCTTGGTGTTTCGAGTGTCCATGGGCAACGCCGCCGATTGCTTAATATCAGGTGATCCGTCTGCTCATTTACCGGCTTATACAATAAAAAAAAATAAAAACTAAATATTTTCCCAATTGTTAGTGAATCATGGATTTCCGCAAAGTAACGACAATTGCATTCTATATAACAATAATTATATTTTAAAAACTTAAAATAATGTGTCATTAAATAATTGTTTCAAATGAAACCGAGATGATTCATAAAGTGAAACAGATGGCTTTCAATGAAATAGGTAATACTTTGTATGTTATGTTTTTGTTTATAATTAAACTTAGGTAAAGCTGGGTACACACTTCACTCCTTAGCCGACTGCGCTAAAAGGAGGTTGATGTGTTTATTTGTATAGGTAGTAGTGAAGGAATAAATGTAAGGAACAAATGCTGTAAACAGATTATTGAATTATATTCATACTAGCTTTTACCCGCGGCTTCGCTCGCGTCACAAAAGGATAAAAAGTAGCCTATGTGACATATACCAATACATACAGCGCCATCTATACCAATACTTTTGTTTTCCCTCGGGAATATCAAATATTTTCGGGATAAAAAGTACCCTATTATGTAATCCAGACTACTAACTTTACGTCTGCAAAAATTCAATACAATCGGTTTAGTAGTTACGGCGTGAAGTCGGAACAAACAAACAAACAAACAAACTCACTTTCAGATTTATAATATTAGTAAGGATAAGGATATTTAGAGTTCCTTCTTGTCAAATACGTGTGATCATTAATTTAATAACAATAGAGGTATTAGTTGTATGGCGAAAGGTAAATAAGGTAACCGTCCCGTTCAATCATTCAAGACTAGGTGTCAGAAACAAAATTATAGAGAAGATTTGTTATTGCTATAAGTTATACTTTAGATGTAAGTGACATTACATAAAATAAAGGTACATAACTTAAGCTTACGATACCAAAGTAAACGATGTTACTCATAGTAATAATGAATCGTTCGTTAGTTTTTTCAGTTAAACTTTACCACATTATCTTATCTTATTCAGGGAGTGCCCAAATATCACAGCCGTTCGGACGTTCGGAACTATCCTAAAACATCAGTTTACAAATAAATAACAAGATGATTCAACTCAATTGCGTTTCTATTATTTTTAACCGGTATTATGATACGTAACCTAATACTATACCTAAATACAAAAAACAAGCAATAATAAATCTTAAACGGCTAGATTTAAGGTTGGATATAATAAAAACACACAATAGTGTGTCTAAGAACATCTACGACCTCTTGTTGAGTGCAGACAAAATTGTTTGCACAGTCCAGAATGTGCTGATAACCTCTGAACCGATGTCCGGGCATATAAAACACAGTAGTCACTCCCGCGCTCCAGTGATTCACAGACGTCTGAGACAACATGATCGCCTTGGTACTGTGCGCCCTCTTCGCCGCGGCGGCCGCGGCCCCGCATTTCGACTACCCCAGGAGAGAGTTCATGCCTCACCTTCACATACAAGCCCGCCCCTACATGAGCGGCGATATCTTCGACACATCGCGGTTCTGGGCCGACATGTCCCGGGAAATGAGGGAGTTCGAAGATATGATGAGCGAGTTTACTCGCCGCTTCCCAACGAGCACGTCACAGGAAGGCTTCGAAGGTAACGAATACAAAATAACTATTCCCTTGTCAGAGTTCGAAGAGAAAGACATTGTTGTGAAAGCCCGTGAAGGATTGTTGATGGTGCAAGCGATCCACAATTACGCAGAGGGTATGACCAAGAACTACTTGGATGTGAGGACGCTGCCCAGCACTGTGAACGTAGCTGGTAACTGGGTGTTCGACAAGGGAGTGTTGAGGATCACGTTCCCGGTGAAGAGTGGATCAGAGTCACCAGCAACGCCTGTCCCGACTACAACGGAAAAAACGATCTTTGAAACTGAACGCCCGACCTTCGGTGGAAGTCGGGAGGAGATTGAGAGCAATGCGAATGTGGGCGTTCTGGACGCGGACGTTGGACTGGGTAGAGGAGACCGAGACAAGGTTACCGACCTGAAGACTAATGAGATCCCTCAAGGGAACACCGTCGAAGCCACCACATATGCCGTCGACTTGAAAGATGAAGTAGAATTCGTTCCAGTTAAGTACTAGACTGTTTTTTTTTATAAATAAAGATTTTTAAGAAACTTCAATTTTTTTTATTTTGAAATAAGTAAAGTGTTATCTTATTGTGGCTCTTTGTGCTATGTCGTGATGTGTTTATGTTTGAACGTTTTGATAAGAATATATAATGAGTTATTTACTAATGGGTGCTTTATTTTAATAGCGTCATAATGGTCAAGCTTACCAAGAATTTATAATCTGGATAATTCCAGAATTGCGCTCAAACATTATGTCACGTGTGTTATAAACAATTTATTTTTATAGAGTTGGATTCAAAAAAATGTTATACATTATTATAGAATTGCAAACACTGAAGTGATGTAATTGTGCGTAACAAAAATCGTTGTAGCACCAATGTCAATGGGTGATATATTGCGGTTGCTAAGGGGTAAAATTACCTTAGAACTTTAAATACTGTGTGTGTAAAACTGAAGAAGTTTGTTTGTTTCTTTCGCGCGCTAGTATTTGCTAAACTACTGGATCGTTGGCCGAATGGTCGTAAGTGCGACTGCCGGGCAAGGGGTCTCGGGTTCGATTCCCGTAAACATTCTCAGTAGTAGCACGGAGTTTGGAATTGTGCCCGGTATATGGCAATAGGCTCACCCCCTATTACATGGGAGTCATAACATAAATAGTGAAAAGTGGGTGTTACATTGTACAGTGGTATAATGTGCACCTCTGCCTACCCCTTCGGGGATAAAAGGCGTGATGTTATGTTACAACTGGATCTTTTTGTAAAATTATTTTTGTTTTGGATAGTCCAATTATCGAGGAAAGGTATCTTAGGCCATAAAACATCACGGTACGAGTAACTAGCAACATAATAAGTGAAAAGTGAATGTTATCTATCTGCTTAGGGGAAATACATGCACTTGTTATATAGGTACTTTGACAAAATTCCCCTTTTCATATACATATTTATGTATCTTGTTTATATTAGTACTTATACTAGATAGGGTCGGGGTCAACCACGTATCTATTACATAGCTTTATCATCAAAATAGTGCACTGTGACGTGATAGCTTTGCAATTATTGAACATAAACAAATTACAGTCTTTGGATAATGCACATGCAGTAGAAATTTATTTTAGGTGTCAATAATATGAAGGTAACATTACGCCTTCTTAATCGCTAAAGCTACATTCAATCTTCTCCAGTCCTACATTTTGGTTTGAAGGGGAATCTAATGAGTTTTCCCGCCAGGGTGAGGCGAGAGGGAGTGTGAGACTATTACTGACTAAAACCACCACTTTCCTACTCCTGCACTTCGAGCTGGAGCTCCGGCAACCTGTTAAATCTTCCGCGGGGTCCGTATCGGTGCGCACGGAACGCGACGCGCCTCATGCTCAAGTCTGGTTCTAATCCGGCGCTATGGCTAGCTACCCTTGCTCGCTGCCCGATGGCTGGTGGCTGGAGATTGTTTCGGGATCCCCGATATCTGGAGTGTCTCCCGCAACGGCTGGGACTTGTCATAAGTCGTATTATTATATTTCAATGGGACACCAAAATCTATACAGTTCTATAAAGCTGGTTTATTACTATTTCCTCACCTGGTGTTCGCGTGGTTATGTAACCAGATTATAAATTTTGTTGGTAGCGGCGACTGGTTGCCATCATGTCACTAGCTCATAGTCATAATGTAATGTGCACGGTTGGTGCGGTGGCTGGGCAACCGGCTGCCGTGCAACGTGTCGCGGGATCGATTTCCGCACGCAACAACACTTTGTGTGATCCACAAATTGTTGTTTCGGGTCTGGGTGTCATTGTGTGTGTGAACTTGTATGTTTGTAAACGCACCCACGACAAAGGAGAATATCCTAGTGTGGGGCAACGTTTTATTTAATAATAAAAAATAAAACTGTTAATAAAAACCAGATACATATTGCTTAGTAGTTGAACCGGCAATCATCACACCGCACTATTACCAACGACAAAGAGCAAAATAGAACATAATGTAAGTGGTAAAAGTGGATTTTGCATTGTATCTATACACCACTGCTTTGGAAACACTCTTTCGGGAGTTTGAATGGGTAACGTTATGTAGAAAAATATGATAAAGAATGTTTTTATTTATGTTATGTTTATATTTTGTCCCTCTGCTCTGCCTGCCTCATTGGCCGAGTGGTCGCAAGTGCGACTGCCAAGCAAGAGGTCTCGGCTTCTATTCCCGGGTCGGGCAAAGTATTACTGGTTTTTTTTTATAAAAAAATCAGTCTTAGTATGGAGTCTGCAAATGTGCCCTGTATATGGCAATAGGCTATTATATGGGACTCATAACATTAATAGTGAAAAGTGGGTGTTACATTGTACAGTGGCATTAAGTGCCGTAATGCGCACCCCTGACTGCCTCTTCGGGGATAAAAAGCGTGATGTTATGTTATGTTATATTATTTTGTCTTACAAAATTCCCAGAAATGATAATATTAATGAAGTTACTTAAACCTTTAATTTACCGGGTCAATGTTTTTAAGATAATTTCGAGTTTTTGTTTTACAGTTCAATTGTTTCTGATAGAACTTGATATCAAGTTTATTATACGACTAGCTTTTACCCGCGGCTTCGCTCGCGTCACAAAAGAATAAAAAGTAGCCTATGTGACATATACCAATACACACAGCGCCATCTATACCAATACTTTTGTTTTTCCTCGGGTATATCAAATATTTCCGGGATAAAAAGTACCCTATTATTTAATCCGGACTTCTAACTTTACGTCTGCAAAAATTCAAAGCAATTGGTTGAGTAGTTCCCATATAGCGCTTTTTGGTAGCCGTTACGAAATAATTCGACACTATGTTTCCACACTTATTCATTCTAGTAACACTTTTTGGTCGCTGAGTGTACTTAGTTCCGTCGCTACGACTAAAAATGGGGAACAGTCGACACAGTAACATTTGGTTTTAAAGTTACGTTGTTGTGTGGTAACATTGTTCTTAGTCTGCAACCACTTCTCAGAAATCATTCGTTCGTTCATTCGTTTTCGTTCTAGTCTATGTTCTGTTATTGACAAGTTAAAAAATAATAAGAAGAAAACATCAGCCATCACTGTTTATGAAGGTAAGTTTTTATTCATATTTTAATTAGCTTATTTACTTAAAATCTACATGGGAAATGAATTTCATTATGTTATTTGTTCATATAGTTTGAAATTTTTAATGCGCCACCATAAAATTGTAATTTAACCTGTTAGTATGATATAAACATCATAGTTTTTATAAACTATTAATAGTTTTACTTACAAGTTTTTACATTCCCAAAGCTTGGAAGCTTTTGCTGTAATATATTTAATAGTAACTATATATTATGGAACCAAAAATGAACTACAAAATAGTTCAATAATTAAAAACCCTAATTTTATTTAGAGAAAATATTCTAGGCACAACTGGTTTGGAAGTTACTAGACTATGTCGACATATGTCGACGTGAAACCAGAAGTAGTTACAAAGTTACCGAATTAACAAAATGGTTTATTGCTTCCAGTGATTCTCAAACGTTTGGACAGGCCTGCATAATATCAAATTATGTTTAGTATAGTACTAACTAAAGAGGGCTCGTCCCACCTTATATCGGTTGTGCCTAGTACATGGGTACTGGGGAACAACAAAGATACTATCCTGTTTTGGCCAAGGACGAGAAAAAACAGCGACCTTGAACTATTAAGGAGAGATGAAAATAGTGTACCTTCAGAGAATTGGAGAAAATTAAAATGTGTCGTGAAACTACAAGGCATAGCTACTTTTGCTGAAGGAATTAAATTAGAGGAACTGTATTCAAATTTTGAGGATACTGAAGATGAGGAGAGGTAAGTTTTACGACGTGTTTTATTCGACAATAAATCGACGAAGTGACGCGCCCCACTACCGCATTTTAAAATCCACTGTCCTGTGTACGTACAATGCAGTAGTGGGGCGCGTCACTTCAGAAGTATAGACTGGAAGAGCTCATAACTCGTTGAAAACAGCTTTTTAAGTATTTGGTTTAAGGTTTATTTTTGTACGTGCACTGCGCTTTCAAGCATTCTTAATGACAAAAGTAGCTCTCCGAGCCGGTCTGTGTGTATGGACCTTAGCAGACACTATAGAAATGTTATTATTATGTACCTATGAAGTGCCATGCGACATGTAAAGGATTATATATCCATATCTGTTTTTTTTTTTCGTTTGGCTATCTCATGAAATATCATTAAATTATTATTATTTTACAGATACCATAAAAATCGTGAAAACAAAAGAAAACATCCGGCTGAAAAGTCAATTGTGGAAGATTTACAAAATTATAATATTGATTTTGAAATGATGGACAATAAAGAAACTAAAAAAGATAATGATAATGTTACAATGAACGATATGAACAAAACAACTATGAATGAATACAACTCAAATATATATTTCAATCACGCCAGTACCAGTTATAACACTATTGATGATACCGTAGCGATTGAAACTGGTGCTTCAAAAATAATAGCAACGAATGAGAATTTAACAACAATACCCGAAACTGAGAGTCAGACTGGTGAAACTTTAATCAGTTTGAGGTTGATTGAATTCAATCAAATCATAACAGAAAACAGTGGGCTACAAGCAGAAAACAAAATTCTCAAAGAATCTAATCTAAAGTTCCAAAATCGTAAGTGATCCCATTCGACGTACTTCACCGGTTTTTTTTGCTTGTGGGTGCGTTTAGAAAAAAAATATTAATATATTATATTTTTTAGTTAAAGAAGAAACTGACAGAGGCTTTAAGGCATTACAAGTACAACTGGACAAATTATATGATATTCTGAAACATAAACAATTTTATATTGATACTATTAGTACTGCTGGTACTTCCGTATCAACAAATTTTGATGAGGAAATAGCTCAGAGGAACATTCAATTTCCAATTAATTCTATAAAAAACTTAGAATTACTAGAAGATCAACTCATTGACACGAATTTCGAAAAAGTTTTGGTAAAGATATTATTATTTTAATACTATAAAATATTTATCACGGTTACAATGGGTATAATATTTGTTCTTATTAATATTTCAGGTCAAAAAATTTTCTAGAATATGCGGTACGAGTGGAATGTTAAAAATATCAAAGATTGGGTTACAGTTAACAAGATGTTTATTCACCGACGAACTCCTTAACCAGTTAACCTGGAAAGGAATTAAAGGCTGTACTAAAGTACCCTTTATGAACTTCATCAAAACAAGAAATCTGTTTTTTAAAATTATACATTTGGCTGATAAGTGTTGCTCTGCAAAGGATTCTGACGTATTTTTGCAGAACAGTGCGATAAAACATAGTGGCCAGCGCATGAAGCGAAATTCGTAAGTGCAAACAACTACTTATTTTCTTTTTATTTACATCTGCATTATGTTACTCCTACAAAGGAGTGTTTAAGTGGTGGCTACTGGGTTTACACACTGTATATTGGTATCTTTATAAATTACACAGCATAAAATAATGTTTTAAAACGTCCTGTTTTGCTTTTAGCTCTGCAATGAAAATAATCAACCCAAAAAAAAACAAAATTGAAATTGAAAAGAAGACTTCTACTGAGAATGAGGATCCTTCATCAAACAATTTAGAAACTATAATAATAAATACTCCAGATAAAGAAATTCATGAAGAAGAGGCAAATGAATTATTGCGGGATGGGTTTCGTGGGCTAGATGATAAGGAAAACAAAATCGGTATGTTACTTAGAGAATAACGCCATTAATTTCATTTAATTATCTTTAATGAACATAAATTAACTCTAGTCATTGTACATTTCAACAGATGATACGCCAGACACAAAAAATCGTTCTATTAAAGCACCGAAAACAGTGACAGTACTCTCTGATGTAAAAATAAGCAACAAGACGACCGATTCAAAACATGAGACTAAAATGATGAATGTAAGTTCTTACGATCTACGTCAAGTTTTCGAACAAAATGAGGAGTGCAACAAAATTACGAACAGTGATTAAACTAATTATTTGTTTAAAATTTTATTGATATAATTTATAAGTAGATCAGTTAAAGTTTAAATGGTGAAATGTACCTATTTATCTGACAGTTTGTAATTGTTTTGAAAAGTTTTAATTGACGAGTTACATTTGTATGTTTTTTTTTATATTTTTGATAATTTGTGTTAATTTTTTAAAAAGATTTATCTGATTGTTTGAGAGTCATATTATTATTATTGGTTTTATTGTTTTTATTTAAATTATTATGTTTTCGGCTTACTTACGTAATAATTTGACGAGGAACTCGACTAGTTTCAAGCCATGCTAGAGGCTCATATTCATGAGCGGCGCGGCGCCTGTCGCGCTGCTACTGAGTAGCGAGTCGAGTAGCAGCGCGACAGTCGCCGCGTCGGTCACAAAATGCTGCTCTAGTCGAGTTCCTCGTCAAATAATTACGTGAGTAAGCCGAAAACATAATAATTTATTTAGTATGCCTCACGAAAGTTACAATACAAATATTGTTTTTATTTGTTTATTTTCTCTCCAAATGTTGTCAATACTGGAATAAACACCATTTGAGAGTTGGAAACCATAGATGTAAGTTTACATTTCACATCATTTAGATTGTATTTCTTTAATTCTTCAAGTTCGTAAGGAAGTAATGTTGCATAAATATTTATATGGGAAGAATTAAATGGTCGCTCAAAAAAATTACATTTGTTTTTTATATTCCTTCCAACGATTTGTATGTTTCCTTGATCAAAAGTTGCAAATTTCATTTCTACGATATTATTGTTGACAGTTAAAAACCATTTATCTTTAATGTATTTTGAAAGCTGGTAATTCTCACTCATTTTTACAGTTGTAAATACTTTTTCACCCGTATCCAACAAACTTTCATATTTGACATGAGCATTCATCCGTTTGGATTTGTGGCCCTTGATGTTTAGCTTTCAGTATTTGGTGTAAGTTGTGAGAGTTAACTGGTCCAGAACGTAACATAACATAACATCACGCCTATTATCCCCGAAGGGGTAGACAGAGGTGCACATTGTGCCACTGTACAATGTGACACCCACTTTTCACCATTTATATTATGAGTCCCATGTAATAGGGGGTGAGTCTATTGCCATATACCGGGCACAATTCCAGCCTCTGTGCTACTACTGAGAATTTTTTTAAAACCCAGTAATACTTTGCCCGACCCAGGAATCGAAACCTAATTGAATCTTTTGAATTAACTAAAAATTCCGAATAACTCAAGTAAATATACTGAGAAAAGCTCTACTAATTTTAGTTAATTCCTTATGTCAAAAGTTATTATAAAAACAGATTTAACTTTTGTAATTAAATTATGCAAAACACTTATAAATAAGAAAAATTACATTATATCTATGAGCGCTGACTGACATCTAAAATGTGCCAATCCAACTTTCTAATAGGACACCTATTTGAGTACTAGTAAGATACTTACTGAGTCAAGAGAATCCGAAAACGTACGCAGCCTCAAAATCTTAGTATTCCCAGCTTTAGTCAGCTCATAAAATGAAACAACGCAATTGAGAATCAGTTAAAAGCAATACAGCTAAGTAAAAATAGGTAAGTACCAACATTAGAAACATCGATACAAAATACGTTTCATTTTGAAAAGACTTCTTTAAATCGAGTTAAAAGATCGGATACGGCTCCGAGTCCATTTAAAAAATAAACAGTATCATTTTGCCAATCCGATGGTGATCTCTACTGGATATTGGGTGCTCATTGGAGGGAATGATAACATTTAGGGCATTCGCTATCTGTTTCATCGAATACAATATCCGATATTCGATCTCGTCAAACCCCAGGTGAGTTTGCGATGTTGTATTCAAATGTGTTGATGGTTTCAATTTAGACATTTAGCTTTGTGTTATAGAGTTGATTTTGTATTGTGTTCTTAGTGGGTGTATGTTTGAAATATATGTATGCCTAGACCTAGTCATATACCACCACGGATGGGGTCCAATAGGGCTGATGCCGATTCGGAGTCGCGGAGAACCTAACGGGTTACCGGGGCTTCGGCTCGACGTGCAGGAGTAGGAACGGGGTGGTTTTTAGTTAGTGAGAGTCCGACTCTCCCTCCCGCCTCACCCTGGCGGGAGCAGTCATTCGACGATTTTCCCCCCTTAATAAAAAAAAAGACCTTGACAGATTTTTTCAAGAAATAACTGTTTTATGAACGCTGTTTCAATTCCTGCAGGGCAATAACGCCTTTTGCTGCCTCTTTTGACCACTTTTAGATATAGTAAAGTAAGACATAGAGCAAAAACTATTCCTCATCTGAACTGTTTCCTCATCTAAATTGTAGTAGGAATCTTTGTATTTTAGTCCATCTAACAGTGTATATAGGTCACAGAATCGACAATCTGTAAGCAAGTAGCCTTATTCCAATGCAAACTTTACGTTCCTTGCACATTGCAATGCGTTGGACTACATACGGCTAACACAAGGATACACAAACTGAGATTAAATTTCTTTCTGTTTTAAAAATAAAAGAAACGAAGCGTGCCATCTGGTCATTCTCAAAGTCTTCCACGAAAAGTTTGTTGGAGTCCAAGGCATGAGCTGAGAGAAGTTGGACGTATCAATTTCTTGCAAAGGGGTCAATATAGAAAGGTATTTATGTCGAAATTTTTTAAGGTAATGTAAATGACTTTTGGCGTAGTGCGCCGTGTAATTTAGAGGTAGACTTTTAAATAGAACTCGTGGTATTCAATGGCAAAACTTATAATCGACTTGTCCATCAGAAGTGTAACGGCATAATCTGTCACAGAGACCATAGACAATATCAATATTCTCGTCATAATACTAAAAGTGGGTCCCATACATTACTATACATGCATATCTACTGATAGTGGGACGTCACAGACTGGTGACGTCCCACTATCAGATTTATTACTATTCCCACATGGTGAAAGAATCGAGGTAAAGCCAGCTTTCGCCAATTATATCATTAGGCCCAGGTAATAGTGGATTGTTCTCTCGATTGATTCTTCTTATTTGATATCATGTAATGTAATCCATTTCATTTGCCTCAGGAAAAACTGTTGACATTTTAGGTAATTTGCTAAAAGTAACATCGTACTTAGAAATTAAACTTTTCTATTTTTATAAGGTATCAATAACAAATTGTCGAAACGTGGGTGCACCAGAACCCTTTGCGATTCTTGCGAGCAACGAATTGTAATGTTACGTTACGTGTTATACTATTTTTTGGTTTAAGGCTCTTTATTGGTTTAGACTAGAGCTATAGCACCCTCATCTCGTAAATTTTTACTGTGCAAAAGGAATTTATTTCTTGAGAATTGCCGTTTAGTTGTAGTGACGACAGAAACTTATTAAACTGGTCTAAATATTTCCTTTTTATTATATCTATCCAAAGGTTGTCTGGTAGACATCGCTTATAAGACCGCCTTTGTGCCCATTATTATTATTTATGTTAGTCATTTCCTTTTCTGGATGTACTATATTATTAATGGTATACAACAAAGTTTATTCTATTCTATTCTATTATATAGATAAGAATTTGCCATACTCATTAACCCCGAATAACCTACATAAATATTTTATTGACACAATCTGTGATTTATTGCTATTGCTATTGTCATAGGCAAATACTATTTACTTTCTGTGTAAAAAGGTACTTAAAGTAAAATTGTCGAACAGATTGTACCTGTTAAACTACGAGTGGTCTAAGTTTATAAAGATAGCTTGTTTTTTATCCATGTTTTATCTCATGGTAGCCTGTATATCTCTGTTCGTGTAACATAAAACAATTTTTTTGTACAAAGGTCGCAAAGTTTTGGTGATTCTTCACTAAGTTTTAGCAATAAACTTGATTTATTCGCTCTTCTGCCACTTACTCGGTGTCGACAATCAGAATCATACTGTTTAGGTACTGCTCGATTGCTCGCCTCATTTGTGCTACCTTCTTTTTAATGAAATAGATTGTTTTAATAGGGTTTTATCGTGACATTAGGTGCATTTTAGTCATTTATAATTTGCAGGAGACTGTATGACGTCATAATGACACAAAAAGGACTGCACAACTAGGTATAACCAGTTTAAAAGTTTCGAGATAAAATTCGCTTTTCTAATCCAAGAATTACGAACTAAAGACACAACACTAAATAGACAAAGAGACAATAAATAAACAAATAAAAGAGTGTGGGAGAGCCATGCTTCGGCACAAATGGGCCGGCTCGACCGGAGTGATACTACGGCCTCACAGAAAACCAACGTGAAACAACGCTTGCGTTGTATTTCGTCGTGTGAGTGAGGTTACTGGAGGCCCAATTACCCTCGCTAGTCTCCCGAATCCCCGAATCCTCCACATTCCTCCAATTCCCAATTCCCAAAAGGCCGGTAACGCACTTGTAACGCCTTGGTGTTTCGGGTGTCCATGGGCGGTGCCGATTGCTTACCATCATGATCCGTCTGCTCGTTTACCGGCTTATGCTATAAGAAAAAGAGTCCTAAAGAGTAGGCCAGTCTTATCTCCCTAACTTTGTCAAACAGACAATATTAAATCCCAACAACAAATTGCAATACCATTATGGCTTTATGAAAAAATTCGTTTTAACTCCGTCACAGTAGAAATGTCGAAACGTGAAACATTTTTTGCGCACAATCCACTTAAAGTGCTGCCTGAAATCCGATTCAGTTATGGAATTCTCTTGCAGCTTGCAACGGTTTTTTAGTACGTGGTACAAGTACTGTGGTTCTAGCGAACACAATTTGAACCTTGATGGCTTGTTTTTTTTCTTTTTTATTATACCTATTAGATTTCTTTTTCTCCGCCGTCTCTTGTCCGTGCCCTTGTCATTCAATTAAATTTTCTTTTATTTACAGCCAAAATTTTATTTTTATTTTAAAAGACTTCATGCACACAGTAATGTACAAGGTGGGCTTAATGCCTAGGGCATTCTCCTCCAGCCATTGGGTGATGCAGAGACAAAAACAATGGTGGATGCAAGAAGCGTATT